TACAGATGACCACATGCTTGCTAATATATATCTGACAACACTGAAACGTCACTGCGACCCTCAAGGGACCTGTTCATTATTCCCAGATACTGATGCTCAGGAAGACTGCACTGAAGAGGAGAAAGCCATTTTCAGGTGAACATAGAATGCATTCGCTATGCCTGAAGAAAATACCAGTGTATTTAAATAATAAGATATTTGCTTTTCAAAAGATTGGCGTAAGCTTTTGCACAGACCTGTTAGCTTAAGGGCTTATCTCTTTTAATGCTAAGGAATATTTCCACTGTGCTCTCACTACAGGCCTGCTCAGGAGCAGCTGCTTTCGCAGCACTCCATGTGTGCCTAAGCCCTTAGTGAGATGGCATTTTATGTTTGGATGATCAACATGCACATTTTTATATAACCAGCCTTTGTGTCTGCTAAGATAAGAAGAATCTTCCCTTAGCATTCTTCTTTAAATGCCAAAAGCCCTTTTGTTTAACTACAGTGTGTCAAACAAATGCTTATCTATTACACTCTTCCCAACAAGAAGCCACTGTTTATTCTTGCTATCTCTTTACTTAATGCATCTGATACTTTTATACCTCTCCCAAGTCTACTCAAGTGTTTTCCTAACATTTTTCACTTTGATGCCCCTGTACCTTGTTAACTTACAACTCCTTGGTGCTATGTTAAAGCTGGTAGATGAAAAGTGTTTTCCAGCTTTTACTTCACATATTAGTGGCAGGTTGCCTTTTTTCCCCCCTCCCTCCTTTTTCAAAAGCACTTGCATGCTAGGAGTGTTCTTGTGCTTGGCAGTAATACATCTCATTGACAAGCTTCCTCTCTCTTCCCTTGGGTTTCTGTGTGTCCTAGGACACCCTGTATAACTCTGAGGAAGCTGGAGGGGCTGATGCCAGTGGGGAATTATTTAGGATCTTCTTTTCTACTTCTGCTCCTTCCCTGATCCACCATCACTACATCGGACAAGTCTTAGGTCTGCTAGCATTTCTAGGCCTAACACTGCACAAAAGGAGAGGTGAAAAAGATCTTTCTTTCTAAAATGAATCTGTTCCAAAGGATGGTTTATATGACCTTGATCTCTTCAGCTCTACCTGCTGCAGTCTCTTCCTGCAAACATCACACAAATAGTTTGTAAAAGGAAGTAAGAGACAGCAAAGATTTACTTTCACTACCATTTCATCCTGGATATTTTTGCTAAGATTGAATCAGTAAAAAAAACAAAACAAAACAAAACAAAACAAAACAAAACAAAAAAAACCAAAAAACACCATAAGATATGGTTTGGTTTTTTTCTCTTTTTTTTCTTTCTTTTTTTTTTTTTTTTCCTAGCAAGTCCTGATGTCATTCTGCCTCCACTCCTTGCCCTCTGAACACCATCTGGAAAAATCACCTTGTACTCCCATGTGAGGCACATCCCCTTTCTTAGGGGGTAAGTGGGCAGCTCTGCAGGCCCTGAGCTCTGCCAGGCTCCTTGCCCTGCTGAAAGCCATTCTCAAAACACCTCGCAGCCCATCTCACCTGTTCTGCAGTACAGGAATTTCGTGAATTCAGGCTCAACCCAGAAGCACATTCACATTCTTCAATCACATTGAAAACATTCTCTTGGGCATTAGCAACCAACACACCTTTGTGGGTGTGTGCTGTAAACATTGCAGACCTCAACAAGACAATGCCTGATAGGGCTCTGCTGCTCAGCACTGCTGCTGAAATAAAATGGCAGTGGAAGAGGCAGAAATTTCATTTTGAAATTCATCTGAAGTAGATTTCAGACCTTTTTCAGGTGCCTGCTCCTTGCATTCCCTATAGAAAAGCTCAACATTAGACTTAACATAAGAAACATGTTCTTTCTGGAGCCAGTGGAGTTGGGGTGAGGGAAATATTGTAACAATGAGTTTTCATCTTGAATGTCTCCCCCTTCAGCATCAAGAACTGGATGTCCAAGAACACTTCGGAAGAGCAGGAGATAACATAAACTGGTCTGAAAATGTAAGTAAGTGAACAGTTTGTTCTGGGGAAAGGTGGATCTTCGTGTTGTGCACCAGCTGTCAAAAGAGTATGCTAGGTTTTCTGTCCTGCAGGCTGCAAATCAACCTCTTCTACCACCCAGCAGAGCCCACTAACTGCTGGGTTAAAGGCTGCTCTGGGCAAAAATATCTTTGCTCTCCTTCCATACCTAATAGGAAAGTATTTTTTCTCACTATGGAAATTTTAATTGATATTATTTATATAATATTTATTATGTAATATAATAATATTATATATAATAATATAAATATTATATAATATTAATATTTTATATAGTATATAGTATTTAATATTATATAATATTAATTTAATATAATTAATACTTAATTATGCGTTAGAGAGCATGGGCTGGTAAGTAAAGGAGCCCAAGCAGATTTGGAATCACAGGGAAAGGGAAATTCAAGAATCCAGCTTGAAAGAAAAATACTTTTCTACATTTTTTCAAACAACTTTGCATGCGAGCCCTGCAAGCTCTATGCCTCCTTCTTAAAAATAGAAAAAGAAAAGAAAAAAAAAGAAGAAAAAAAAAAGGTAGAAGTAGCTTTCCTTTTATCCAGCAAGAAGGGAGATAGCCTCACCCCTAATATATGTCCATTATGTGACAGTTTGGGACACATCTAGATTTTGGCAAGGTTAAGTGCAACAGCTGTATTCCCAATTACAACCACCTAGGCAAGGGCAACAGCCTCACCTCTGACTTTGTTTTTTTTCAGCCTTTGCCAGCTTTATCAAGCACTGACTCCAGTGCTCTCCCATCCTTCTTCCTTTTCACTGCTTTCTCCTACTATCCCTTTTCCCTACATTCTGACACCTAGATGTATTCCTACTAGGATGCATCTGTTTTGTTTCTAGATTATCTGCATCTGCTCTACTTTTGGGAAAGCAAACTATGTTTTGTCTAAACTTTTATACGTGCCTCAGACTGCACGGCTCAATTGCTGTCCAGTTCCTAGAGCCTATACCTGACAGATCGGCGTGTTTGACTTGTTTGAAATGTGTTTGAAATGCATTAATGCCTGAAGGTTTATTAAGAAAGATAGTATTTTTTCAAAATAATAAAGTAATTCTTAATGTAGTCATGAACTCAGTTCAGAAAATATTAGTCTTTTAAAAAATCTCTCTTAGAAATATCTCCTTAAGTGCAGCAATTTGCAAGCTTGTAAGAAATGTGTTTTTTCTGTTTGCATTAATGGTTGAATATTGTTGTTTCTTATTGTTTGTAGGGTTTTTTTTGTTTGTTTGTTTTCTTAAAGCCCACCTGAGATTAAAACCTGAGTTAACCACAGAAAAGACTGAAAATTGTTCTCAAACTTTCCTGAGCACAATTAATCTAATCCTTTAACAGCTGGCAGCTGCAGTAATTACTTTTAGATTATACCTAAAGTCTGTTGAAATCTAATTACTCTGATCTATGAACCAGGTAATTAAGGTAAAAACTCCAGCATTTTCTTAGACCTCATTAACTTATTTCCTTTGAAAATCATTAGCTAATGATGGTACATTAAGAGTTTATCCATAAAATGACAATGAATAATTGAAACCTTTGTCCTGGGACATCAGAGGTCAAAATAGTGTTTAACTGCTCAATGTCTCGATGGCTATTTCTTCATTTACAGTGCAAATATCATGCCAGTTTGGGGAGAACAAACCAATTGAACTGAGAAAGTGGCCAGGAAGGACAAATATTTTCCTTTTCATTTATTTAGTATCCATAAAATAACTCAGGACTTCCACTGAGATATGCAGACCCCTGAGAAGCATCACTACCTGTTAATGCTCAGGCTGTCTGGAGCTCGAATTCAAGAGCAAAGAGACACCTGGACCTGCCTGTTGTGTAGCAGCGGGCCTTTGAGTGTGGAAATGCTGTGATTTTAGCCTTGTTGCTGGCTGCCTGACCTGATTCCCTGTCTCAGAGCTGTTTGCAAGCTCTGAGATGCTGTGTGCTATGGCTCCACCTGCAGCATCCTCCTCTCTCCCCAGTGCAAAGGTTGTACACAGCCAGAGGATGAGCTTTTCACTGAGATATATTGAAAATTTTGGATCCTTGTGCTTTGTGCTTGTTAGGAAACAAAGAGAAAGAGCGATATGTATCTCTCACCCCAAATGAGAGTGTACTGAGATGCCTATGAGACACAGTTACCAACCAAGATGCTAGGAATGACTGAAAGAGGCAGGGTAGCCCTTACATGGTGGCTAAACTAAGCTGCTTACCTTTATTTTGACATGAGTCTAAAGCTTGTGTTATTTTGAACTATATTGTAAGCTGTAACCCACAAGATGCAGCAGGCAGGGGTTGTGTTGCCATCCTCTGCTCTCCATCCTGGGAAGGCAGCTCCAGCCATTCCCATTCTCCAGGTAAAGTTTTTGTAAGGACGGAGGACCCAAGTCAGCAGACTTCCTGAGAAACTTCTGCCTTCAGGCCCCCTGTCCCAGTTTTCCTCAACTTCTGATGCCATGTCTTTTTTAATGAATTCTCCATATTGTGTTTCATCTGGAAGAGTGTGATTGGCATCTGGATCTGACTCTGCTAGACACTGTGATGATGCACAATGCAAACTCAATTCTTTCTTAATAATCATATCTAATGTACAAAAGGAAAACTAATTCTACAACTATATGGACTACCTAATCACAGAAGTTGATGGATAAACCAATGCTTTATTGACATCTGTGTAACAAACCAAACAACAGAAATTCTGTTAGTCACTTAAGAGCTCTGCAGAGTAAGCACATTGGGCTCAGGATCTCTTGGGGCTGTCTCCTGAGCATCAGGTACAGCACTTACCTGTTGCATAGCATCTTAGAGAAGGAGTTCATCTGTACTGAAGTATGTAAAAAAAAAAAAGCCTAAAATCTTTAATTGCAGCTGCTCTGTAGAACAGTAACTTCAGTAGGAAATTGTCAAAGCACTGGCTTTGGATCATAACTCAAAGAAAACTTTTGGGACATCATCTGTTAGACCAACAAGGACCTGAGTACATATTTGCTGTGATCACTGTATACAGGGGGAAGGAAACAGTCCGAAACTGAATGTAAGTTGCCTTAAATTTTCTCTTCAATAATGATACATCATTTATGAAGTCAAGAAAGTAATAAACTTAGATATTTTTTGTAAGGCATTTTATTAAGGAAATTAATTGAACAAATCAGCTAATTAAAAAAAAAATTAAGGATTCAAGTATCGATTCAATATAAGAGAGATGCCCACATGGCTATTCAGGAAATCCTGCTGTAAAGAAATTACCAAGACCAGTTTACCAGTCGAAATTCGGACTGGCAACCAAGTCCTCAATCAGTTTTCGGCCAATTTTCCTTGCTGCTTCAGTAGACATTGACTTTTGCCAGAGCTTCAGTGACAGTCCTCCTTGGAAAGAAACACAATGTGACACTGTCAGATTAACATGGAGTACATGCAGCTCGAGGCACACAAGGGATGAAGCACAAGTCTGGCTGCAAACACCTAACCACTCTCCTGAGGATAGTGACAAGGCTGGAGCATGCTGATGGTGTAGTAATTGCCTACAGCTATGTAGGAAGACACAGGCTATTCATTCAGCTTGGGTTCCTTTGTATTGATGGACAACTTGGCTTGTTCCCTTGTCACCAGTGTTGCAAATCAACATGATTGAAGACACATGTCAGGGTCTTGTTCTGGAATTGCACATAGCTTCATATCTTATGAAGCAATGGCCTGATGGTTACAGTCATGCACTTTTCTGTTTTTACTCTAAATAAGCAAAGAATTTACTCTTCTACCCCTCTGAGGCCTCAAGCTAAAGAAGTGAATGACCCCTATACTTTCATCAAGGCAATTAGCAGTCATTCTCCATGAAGCATTCCTGACCAGTCCTGCTTTAGCACCAATTTGTACAATTCTCATTGCCTGCTCCCCTCTGCTCTGTTTAAAAGTTTGAAGAATCCAGCTCAACAAAACAGTACATCTCATTTTGTCACGGGTGCTGTAACAACAAGGTCTAGCTTTTTAGATCCATTTTTAGGCTGTCAGTCCAGAGCCAAATATAGTTGAATGTAGTTTAAAGTTCCATTTCTGATCTGCAAAGCTATCAGCAGGTTGAGCTAGCTTGCATACAACCCTCAACTGAAAGCAAAGCTCAACACTTCAAAGCACAGTCAGGGAAATCTCCAGCCTGCAAAGCCAGGGATTTCAGATAGATATCACACTGTTAATGACTACATTCATATAGAACATCTTCAGCATCCTTGCCTCTTCTTTCTCCCTTCGGTCCTGCATTCATCTGCTCTGCTGCCCTGGTACTCTGCTCCTTGATTTCTACCCTGCAAGTCCTGCTTTCCCTTGCTGTCCCCACAGTGGAGAGATGAATTCTAGATTGGCAAAGAAACCTGTTTCTATGATCCATTGCATAGGCTACCATGCAGGGGACAGAGCTCTTAAGAGAAACCCTGAATTGTGACATAGGTTACCAGTCATATGACAAAGCTGTTATGATCCTTATTCAAATTATGAAGCAATATTCGCCATTATGTGTGAGGAAAACAATTTGTGGTGTGAGGATGCTCTTTTGTAACACATAATATCTTCATTAATCAGTCTTCCAACACTAAATACAGCTACTGAATTTTCATTGAAGTATTTGGACAGAAGATCACAAAAACAAAACAAAACAACAACAACAAACAAACTATGGCTCTGGATACTAGCTTTATGTTGTAACTTCATACTGTGTTTTCATTTAAATAGCTTCCTTTCATAAAGGATGAATAAATAAATAGTATCAACCCATCCAAATACTGTAATTATATGTCTCACCACTGGATGGTGATGCAGAACTTATTTTAGTTAAAGCTGTCTAAAGGATAGTGTTCTAGCACTGGGAGAGAATTCTGTGGGTTTGCGTAATGTTTTCCATAAAACCAAAGATTGAGATGGAAAACAAAAGCATATCCCACAAAAACAAAAACAACAACCAAGCAGAATACTTGTGGACATACAAACCATTGTTTTTGATCTTTTGCTCTGTTTTTTTTTTTTTTTTCTTTCTTTTTTTTTTTTTAATTATGACCTCAACTGATCCAGTAAATTGATTTACAGCTTTGATGGTTTCAGATTTAACTTGTGAAATGCAAGCTGGTGATCATTTTTAAAGTTCCTGGGTAAACTGGAGAAAAAAAAGAGCAAGATCATATGGTCCTACAAATATAACCTTTGTCTAATGTGAAGTCCCCATCACATACTGTCAACGTTATCTCACTGCTATACTTTCTTTCTGGTGCACTGTTCACTTGTGGTTATACTTTTAGTCATACTTTTTTACTGTTCATCTCTATGAAGTGATTTTACTACCATGTACTGAAAATCACTTCATTCATGCGGAGAAAAGTACAGAAACAGAAGATGTAAGATATCTATGGACTACCAGCTTCTTTAGGTGCGGCTCATACCTGTTAATTGATTTGCTCTGTTAAGAGCTCTCAGTGATACAAGAACTTTGTTTTGCTGTGAACTGAAGCCACTGATGGATGGGAGGACATCCCCTTCAACAAGCATCCTCTGGGGCAGGAAAGCCTGGAAGTGGTTTGTGGTCTGCAAATCTGTAGAGAAATGTGTGGCTGCAATGAAATCTACACCATTAGCCCAGTCTTCACCAAAATTTGCTTCTGGAACAGCAAGGTATTTTAAACTGTAAGAAATAAAAATAAAAAATTATCAGATAATTGAAACCCACAGTAGAACACAGTAATCTATCATTTATACCAAACGAGTTTTGATCAGTGTGAAATCCTGAACAATCTCAATTTAGTAGTGACTTAAAACCTCCTGCAGCACTTTATGTATAATTTCTCCTGGCATAACCATCTCTGTACATGTTAGATACAGCTCCTGGCTGAGGCCCTGGCTTTCAGATAGGAATCAGCATATTGTGTAAACCCATAGCCTGCCTGCTTATCACAGCCTGTTGTGCTGATGCTTCATCTCTTGCCGGATATCTCCCACTCCTCGAGAGGGAAAGCCCAGAGCCTCATACAAGCATTGTTCAGGCATTATCCTAGCAAACAGGCATGGAGGTAAGAAGGTCCCCATGGCCACCTCTCTCATTCCCATACCTGTCCTGGAATTTGGGCAGCGCATAAGCAATGGAGGCAACATGCGCCTTCCACATGTAGTGGAGAGCATCATCCAGCACAAAGGAGGACTTCGCCGAGTTCATGGTTTTTTGCTCTGTAGACTGCAGATACTGCAGCAATAGGGAGAAAAAAGCAGAGAAACGATACATTTTTCACACTTACATACTTCACAGTAGAATAAGCTTTCAAGCTAAAGAAAATTGCTTATGAGTAGTTAGAATGTGTTACATGTACTTTGTAAATAACTGTACTATCTGACATAGGGAGAAATTATTAATATAGATTTCTAGAATGAATTTCTATTCTGACTGAAATTAATAAGATTTGCAATTCTTTAACTTAAACAGAGTGAATGTTTTTCCCATATAATTTAGGTATTCTGTCACAGTAATTTGGACTCTTGTATCTGAGTGCAGTGGAAGTTTCCATGTGAAAATACTGAATTTCTCAAAAAACAGTTACAGCTGCAAATGCTAAGAAATTTCAAAAAATAAGAAAATGAACCTTAATGGTTGTAATTATGTGATCATTTATAATAACTTCCTAAATATACTGTTTAGTATAAAGAATTTGCAGAAAACAAATCCAGCCTTGTTCTTAAAACCTATTCCTCTACTTAAAATCACCAGGTTTCTTGTGGTTTTAATTTGCTGATCATTATCTATTACCTGACTGTGAACAAAAATATTGAATAAAGGTTATCTATAAAAAGCATTATTGAACCTATGAAGTAAGAAGTACAGTTATATTTGTGACTGGAGAGCAACTGAATGATGTGGAAACAGAGTACATAGATGTATTAAAAATATCCTCCTGAATTTCAGTTTTTTTGATGTTCAAAGGAATAAAAAGGTCCTATAAAATCATCTCAAGACCATTTCTCTAGAGTAATATCTATCTTGCCTGCATAACTTGGAATTGCTAACATTAGGAAACAAGTGTAACCGTTAACAGCCTCTAGGGACAGATGCTAAAATACAAAATTAGCTTGAAACGAAGGAAAAGAATAAATAACCTGTAAAAATCCTGTCTTTCTCATCTCTCATTCATTTTATGTCATGTTTTGCTTTTTTCCACTGCTTAACTTTTTTTATCAAGTTGTTATTGAAAGTAAATCAAGCCATCAAAGTGCAACAAATAATAATAAGAGTTTTAAAAAGAAATATTTGAGTATAATCTCCTACAAAATATTTTAAAAATGTAAAATTGTTTACTTCAAAGTAAGCCTTCCACTCATCCATGAGCTCAGGAATGCGGGAACGGCAGTCAGCAACACTGTAACAGAAATCATCTCTTCGGTCCTCTGGCGGCAGAATTTCTACCTCATACTTCACTTCTCCAAAGAGGCCAGCTTCCACTGCACCCAAAAAGGGTATGATAGCCAGATAGTAATTCATACCTGCAGTAAGAATTGGAAAGGAGAAGGCTTTAACTGATAAGAAGCAAACAATTTCCACATGGAGAAATGAAACCTCTACAACAACAAATGCAGTCATTTCAAAATGCCACCGATACAATTATGTCCAGCAGTGGGACGTATGTACTGAAATCCCCTAGAAGTAATAACTGTATTGATTCATATACAACTTTCAATATTAATTTATATGTTGGCTGTAAGCATGTAGGAAAGCCAAGTTCAGCTCCTGCCTGTGCTGGACCAAATCTTCTATGAAAATGTTTGTATGACTTTTGATGTTCTTCATGTTGGAAGAACAATTTTAGATTCTCCTCTTGATTGTGTCCTTCTTTGTAGAAATAAATTTTAATGACTTCCAGCAAAGAACAGTCTAAAGCTCAGATTTGTTGGGTAGGTAGCTCTGAGCCATAGAGTTAAGAGGTCATTTGCTCATGCTTAATCTCAGTGCCATGGATTGCCCAGCTATTTGCACATGGTTCCAGCAGTGAGGACCAAAATCACCAAAGCACTATACCCTATCATGTATCCCTATCCTAATAATTATTCCAGCTCCTGTATGTGCATGGGCCTGGCTAGGGATTCTAGAGGAGATGTATAGCCAGTGACAAGAGCCAAACAGAGGCCCCAAGTAATGAGAAGACAGTGTCTCACTGGGAGTCATTACTAAGCTGAGTCTTTCTTTTCATTCATTGTTTTCACCAGAGAAGCTGAAACTTGGATTTCACACCAGAATACGCTTAAATTCTTTCAAATATGTTTGCACGTATTACTTATTTATACCTGCTTGGGGAACTCAGACAACAAAACAGTGCAACAGAGGAATACACTGAATATTATTCTAGGTCAAAAGGAGGACAGGACTTCTTCAGCAACAGTCTTTCAAGCAGAGTTTCTTTTACTTTGGGACATGTTAAATGTGAGTTTCTGGCTTCAGCTTATTCCCAGCTTAGTATGACTATGCATGCCAGGGAGGGTTGCCCTGGAGACCAGACCAAGCCGCTTACATCCTCAGAACAATAAGGCATTTATCTGCAGTCTGAAATACTTTTTGTGTATTCCTGGTACAATAGGGTAAATCAAGGCTGAGATCATACATTTCCTGGAGGAAAACTTGCTATCATGAAGACTTACAGTGTTCAAAAGTAAGTGAAGAGCAGGAATGCAAATACTGAAGATAAATCTGATTTCTGTTCCAAGATTTCTGTTTCTGATTTCTGTTCAGCCCAGGTCTATGCAGTGACCCCTCTTACTTGTCAATGCATGGGACACCTTCTCCTGAGCACCTAGTTGTATTTATACTCACAGACACAAATTGAACTTGGATTGAGTATCAAAGTGAAATTTGGTGTAGCACTACATTTATATTTTAATTTACTCTGTGCTCACAGTTTTGGTCACATGAGGAGATATGAAATCAGTTTCTGATTGATATGAATCAATCAGAATCACAGATATGAAATCAATTTCACTGTCAGAAGCCTCCACAACAAAGCACGGGTGTGATGGGGATAGAGAGAGCAATTCACTGCAGCCAAGCAGCAGGTCTTGTGGAAATGTGCACTCACAGCAGAACAGCAAGGAAGCAGAGGGAGTGAGGGACAAAAGTGATGGAGTGAAAATGTGCTGGAGAGGGAAAGGTTTTCCCTTTTCAGTGGAGGGGAAGTGCATTTAAAAAAAAAAAAAAGAGAGAGAGAGAGAGATTTTCATATTTTTATTGATGTTAGATGTAAATACTGACTGTAAGTCAAGCTTGTCTTTTTTTTTTTCTCCCCTCCTATCTTTCAGTTCCATTTTTTGAAAAAAATGGAAGCTAATCTTTCCAGAAAAGACAGACTTCCATTTTCATTAAAAAAAAAAAAAAAGAGCCTAAAAATACTGACTTTGACTCAAATTGGATACAAGGAAAACTTCAGTGGTTTTGTTTGTTGGCTTTTAAATAATGTGTTCATTCAGCTTTTTGGATAATGGAAACAAAAGATCCTTCTATTTAGACTGGTCATGTTTATGTTACTCAGTTTTCCTTGATGTAGGAAAATTATTAAAGTATTTTTTATTTATCAAATGAGAAAATTTAACTGTGATTTTTATTTTACTTTTGGACTCAGAAAAAAAAAATTGTCTTTTAAGATCAACTCTGTGAAAAATCTATCCATACATTGTCCTTTAAGAAGCCCATTTCCACATAAACACTGGCTGTAAAAATTACCAGAGGAAAAGAAGCTACATGCATGTGCTAGCATTTGAGACAAAGAGCATTGCAGTGCTGGTGTTTTTTTCATTTATACTGGAAGTGTTATTTGGTGGGTTGTTCTGCAGAGCAATAGATACCTTTGACTTACGTGCAGCATACTAGATCACATGCTTTACTCTTTGCAAAGTTCTGAGCTTAAGGACAAAATATTCCCTACTATTTAAAAACCTACTACTTGCTGTCTCATATTCTGTAATTTCTCCCATGATTCAGAAAAATGTTGCAGAAAATCTTGCAGTGGACCTCATGTACCACAGAAAGATGAGGTGCTCCACCACACCGACCAAGACAGATATCAACAACACGCATGGCTGAACTATGTCACAGTTGGCCCTCCACTAAAATTTGTCACTTTATTTTTTATTGGCACTGCATAATGCAAAGGTGGTTCCAAACTCTTGCCCTGTAGGACACAAATCATATTTTGAAGAACACTGTGATAGAGTATACTTACAGGACCACCAACTTCTTACAGATATACACAGGTTTCTGTGGCCACAGGAAGTCCCATTGGTAGGATCTGCTAATCTGCCTAAATAAAATGAAAGAATGCACCAATTATTTCTCAATTTTTTTTTTTTACACAAGAAATCCAATTGAGATGAATACATATCTATATACATCAGTAAATCATTGAGAATTTTGCTAAAAGTAGTAGAACAATTGCTGTTGTCCTGCTTCATAAACTACTGTTGCTATAGTAGTTGAATTTCTCAGTCAATACTTCATGCAGCACATAGTAATATGACTTTGTTTTACAGTTAAATTTATTGCTCTCTGTAAATGTATTCTAGGAGCTTAAGGAACTGCCTAAAAGTGGGATATCACAATGATATTTTTATAGATACATAAATATACATGAACATACAGCCATAAACACGTGCATAGCTGATGCATCATTCTCTGTAGATGCAAGTCTGCTTTTGTAGGAAAGCTGTTCAACGACCAGAATAGTACAAATTAAGTGTGCTAGTAATTGCATCACCTAATTGGGCTTTGTGATACAGAATCCCTTTCAGTTTAATGATGCATACGAACATTGCCTTCTTGTTAAGCTAAGCATGCAAATGTTGCTGTAGCTGATTAGCAGAGTTTTCAAGTATCTGTTCTGTAACAAACGTGCAAGATATTTCACAATTATTTGTGACAGCATGTAAGACATATTTCACTTTAAGCACATGACATGAAGGAGTAGCATAACTCCTTAAAGCATTCTGTTATGCACATCGCATGGTAAATAGTCATGTAAGGAGTCAGGAAATCTGTTTTAAGAACATGACATGGAAGTACCATAGTCAGGTTCAATGACATAAGATGTTCCAGAAGCTCTCAATCCCCGCCCTGAAGAGCACCTGCTCTCTAATGAGTCAGCTGAATACAGATGTTGCAAATTCTGTCAGAATCACAGAATCACAGGATGGCCAGGGTTGGAAGGGACCTCAAGGATCATGAATCTCCAACTTCCCTGCCACAGGCAGGGCCACCAACCTCCACATTTAATACTACACCAGGCTGCCCAGGGCCCCATCCAAACTGCCCTTGAACACCTCCAGGGATGGGGCATCCACAACCTCTCTGGGCAGCCTGTTCCAGCACCTCACCACTCTCTCTGTAAAGAACTTCCCCATGACATCCAACCTAAATTTTCCCTCCCTCACCTTAAAACCATTTCCCCTTGTCCTGCTGTTATCTACCTTTTAAAGAGTTGATTCCCCTCCTGTTTGTAGGCTCCCTTTAGGTACTGAAAGGCTGCAATGAGGTCACCCCTCAGCCTTCTTTTCTCCATGCTAAACAAGCTCAGCTCCCTCAGCCTGTCTTCTTAGCGGAGTTGCTCCAGCCCCTGATTATCTTCATGGCCCTCCTCTGGACCGTCTCCAACAGCTTCAACTCTAACAGAATTTTCTACTTTGCTGTTTGACTTTACGTTTTCTTTTCTTTACACTTACTCTAATGTCTCACCTACGACTGAGATACGAGTAAGAATATTTTTGTGCCATTATTCCCTCTTTTCTTTCTTTGTAAGTATAGATACTACTTTTCCTACTCTTCACGCATGTTATGCCAACTGAAACTTTCTTAAAATCCTTGATCCTGGATTTGTACTTTTATATGCAAATATGGAGGTAGAGACTATTCAGTTCCCCCAGTCTATGTAGTCGAACTCTTCCAGTTTAGCTCCATCTCTAAAGTAATTTTTCCACAATCACATTCTAATCAGCCATCCTGTCTTACCCATCAAGATATGCTGTCCTGCCAACACTTGCTCTACTGTAAATGTGGGCAAATTAATGATTTATTTTTATGTCCATGAGTTGCTCATTACAAATACTTACTAAACTAGCAGTTCCACTCATTCTTTGTAGTTTGTATAGAACTATACTCATAAAAATATTTTCTCAGTAATATAGCCTTCACAACCAGACAGGATGGTTAATGTGACATATTTCAGTGGTTCAGGAATCTGCTGTCCAGTACCATTTCCTCGTTTAAACTGTCCAAGATCATTCCACTCAAGCATAGCTTCTGCACGAAGGCGTCTTTGTTTCAGCCATTCACTGAATCAGCCCTCCTACACCATCCATCCCCTTTATTTTCTCTTTGTTTTCTTACATATAAAGAATGAGAAGAGGAAAAAGCCTGCTTAAACTCCAACCAAATTCTTCTTGCTGCTATTTGCCAGCTAGTGACCTCCATGGATTTTGCTACTTGTTCTACCTCCTTTTCTTTATTTTAACTTAGTATTTAATTTTCTGTTAGTTGTGATTATATGTTGGCAGCCTTCCTCCACCAACAGCTGCAGTGTCTACATTTTCTTCCAGGCAAATATGCATCTTCAAAAAATCCTATGACCTCAAAAAGCTGCAGATTGCAACCAATGAACAAAAGCAAAAACAATGAAAGAAGTCAGACAGGTGTATTTGCTTACATCAGGAAAGAAGGATTTACTGCCAGGTACAAGTTCATACATGTCATGCTGCACCTGAGGCAGCATGTAGGAGAACACATTCCCCAACAAAGCTCTGGATACAATATTGCAGCCTTAGGACCTTTGGCATACATTTCTGCCTCCGCTTCCCTAGTATGGGCTAACCAGCTAATAAGAATGATTGCTCAGAAAACCACTTGCTTTAAACTAACAGAGAGAAAAAGGGGGAAAAAAGAGAGAAAAAGAATGGGAAAAAGAAAGAGAAAATAAAAAAGAATTAACAATTTTTGTAAAAAAAAAAAAAAACATATTTAAAAGGGTGCTTCTAAAATTATCAGATAAGGCAAAGAGGAGAAAAAGTCTCAGTGGGAGTGGTAAACGTAATTACGAAAATGAAACTCTATATAACATTATCAGCCAAAAGAAGCCTATAAGTTAACAAAATAAGAACAGTACTGCAGTGTGCAGACCCTCACATCTACCTGCAATAAACTGGGAAGACTGGGAATGCATTCAAAAAGATTTTCAGGTAACTGAAGTGTTACCTTCCTCAACCCACAGTCCTTCTGGATTCTGATCAGTTCTATGTCTAATAATATATTTTTCTATTAGAAAATCAAATAGTTATTTCTCAAAAAAGTAAGATATTTCCTTCATCAAGAATTTCTCTTTCAAATTGGCAGCTTAGCAAAGTATGTCAACATTTACAATCTGAGTCTGTAGTAGTCTCGCAAGGCAGGAGCCTTGTAAAAAAGTGACTCAAAGCTGGTTTGGTAAACACATATCTGTTCTAGTAGCTGAAGGACATAATTCATACCTGTACGAAATTGCCACCCATGCTGCACTGGTAATCCCCAGAGAATGTTGCCAGAATTTTGGGATCCAAAGGCCATAAAATATTTGGCTGAAGCCTTTAGCATGCTCTTATACACTCCCAGTCGTTCTCGATAGTTCCAAGGATTGATGACAATGTTGTTGTCCTTAATTGGGAAATCCAGAAGGTTTTCAGGGGCAAAGTCCCACAGTGGGGGATAGACATCTTCTCCATTGGCATCTGTGTCACTCTGTGCTGTGGCAGCTGCTGGATTCAAGGCAACAACTACTATGAGAAGAAGAGCCTTTATGGAAAAGTAGGGCCACATCATGGAGGTTTGTGACCAAGATCTTCATTGTTGCAGGGCTTTTATCATGAAAGGTGAGGGCTGGGCAAAAAGGGTGACTCAGACTGCAGAGGTCTCTGTCTCACTTCCTTCTTTTCAGTGATCCTGACTTGGCACTGCCAGATGAACAAGCTGTGACTAATGTTCCTGCCTCTATCTTTCAAGAGCAATAGCAGATATTCAAGGGGGATCAATATGACAGAAAAACATTTAAACCTGTGCTGCCCACAAAATATATCCACATTTTCCAAAAGCCCACCATGCTGCAGTACTGCCTGTACAGTAGCAATATGAACCTTTCTGTCCCTGCGTTTCTTGTTAGTTGTCATGTTTTCCTTTCCCTACCTATTTCTTCCTTGTAAAGAGCAGACAGCAGTGTCATAGATCTCATCTCTAAATGCAGGCAGGTGAGATTAGCACTGAGTGGTTCCAAACAAAGTGATTTGAGAAGGACCTGGGTGCCCCCAAGGAGCAACAGTAGCATAAGCTTTAGGTATCTTTCTATTTTGGTTTTAGGACAACTTCCTATAACCATCAAACTGTTCATGTGTTGGAAGGAAGAAAATAAGCCTTGTTCTAGGCAGTACAGTACCAGGCTAGCTGCATTTTTACCATCTGTTTTGTTTGCAATTGTTAATTATGAAGTTCTAAAGTCTCCTACTCGATCTCCATGATCTTGTAGATTCCACATGCAATACAAACACAATGAAAACACTGATAAAATTGGTGTTTGAGTTAGTTACACTTCAACATAAATGAAATTGTCAAGCTACCTTCACCTCACCTACTTGCAGGATTGTATAATCTTCAGCTGCTTGTTCTCAGATAAGCAACAGTTGCAAAACTGTAGTCAGCAAACCTACTTATCTCTGTAGTCATGCTTTCACATGAGAAAAACTGCAAATGCTTATTTTCTTTGAAGTAGCTTTGTGAATTTTGTTCAGGCTTTGTATGCTTAAAATAGCTTAAACCAACACGTTGGATGAGAGCAACTCAAAACTGGCTGCAACCATAGACCTAAAGAAATGTAACAGTTCAGTTGAAATTATTTTCCATCTTTTCTGTGTACTAGGGAGATTCCCTAGTAAATAACATCATTTTTTTTTCAATGATCAGTTTTAATTTGTGTCTCCACTAAGGAGAAAAAAAAACAACTATTGAAAAGCAATCAGAGATCATCAAAGTAGAGATTAATATAGACTTGTAGACTTAAGAATGGACTTGAGAACAATATTCCTATTTACAGTGCCTTATAGAAGTTAAAAATAATTGAATTTTCCTCTTTTTAAATTTGAATGAATGGAATTTATCTCATCAAAGTGTGAACCTTTGAAGATTAATCTAGCTATGCAGAGAATCAGGCATGTTGAGAATGTAAATCATTTAAAATACATCACTGAGAGATGTATTGCTCTCGGCTGACCTCAGAGGGAGTTGAAATTACAGGCTTAGATGTAGACATAAATAAGCATTCTTAGATTAAATAAAATTAATACTCTCGTTGCTTATTTTTACATAATAATTTCAGAAATGTTCTAAAATTTATTTATTTACTTGAAGCGTAAATATAAAACAATCTTGAAGGTTAACACCAAGAACTGTGCTGTTTATATTTATACATAAATAGCTCTATGTGAAATAATGAACAGTGAGCCTCATCTGAAAAGCAAATGTGCTGAAAGTTATTTGCTAAAGTGAAAGTTATATAGAGGAAATGTGATTTACGAAATAAAAGGTACAAAGGTCATAATCATGCTAGGAAATAAATTTTGGTTTGGGGACATAAGGAATTAATTAATGATGGGGATTATTTTCACCATCACTAAAAAAAGTGACTAATTTGGGATTTTGAGCTCTCTACTATGCCTTCATTTAATTGTAGAAGAGATTATGGCTTCTCCTGGTGAGAGGTACTCATAATTGTACATGAATACATAAATGATTTCATTTTCATGGCTTAAGGTCAAGATATGTGAATAAATACCTTCAGTTTTCACAGAGATACCGTATACATAAGTTTGTTTGAAAGTAATGCCTCCTATTAACTAGAAACTACAACGAAGAGTACAGCAACACTGTTTGATAGAGCATATTCTCAGCTGCAAAACACTATTTTTCAACATAGTCACCACCATTAGCCGGTATGTAATGCTAGTAAAAATCTACACAGTGAAGGTGACTCACTGTCACTGTCAGTACTGCTGAAACCCACCACATATCACCTCGTTGCGCCCACGTCCATTGTTTGGTCTCCATCAACATTCAGCAAGTGTCAGTGAATGTCAACGGGTGTCATTTTTTCTGCACAGAGGAATTCAGCGATGTCCCTTTGATTCATAGACATTTCCATGTCAGAAGACATTTAGTCAGACAATGCCTATCAATGACTTAATGCCTGCCATGTGCCAATTTTTGAGCTGGTTGGTAAACATTTGTACTATAATCTAAATGATAAATGTAGCATATATATATGTATGCCTAGAAATTAATACACCTTTGGCTTTGCCAAATTCCTTCATCTTTTAAAGTTTGAGTCTTTTATCTTGTGCTAACAAACAAAACTTCAACAGTTCTATTCATCACTGAAGCATCCAATTCTTAAAAATTAATATAATTAAAATATTCCTGCAAAATATTACAATTCATTTTATAGGTCTTACACTATCTTCCTGCTTACCTTTGTAGGCAAATAAGTTGGTACAGTTTGTTAAAGACTTTAAGGACAACGACTTGCCTTTGAGAAGTCATTACACAGGTATTTCAAGCTTGGAGTGCAGTCATGTTTGTTTGTCACCTTGAGCAGAGGTGAGGATTCACGTGATGTCAGCAGGACACAAGTAGTGCAGGTGGCAGGTCTTGAGTCATAACCAGCACTTCAGGAATGTCAGCATTGTAAATGACCAGAATGTTACGTTTATTAGCAATGTCAGTATCACTGTTTTCTTCACCACTGTTTTAATATGTCCCCCACAAGTTACTAAACGTGGCTGTGTCCTTGCAGACTCTGTAACAGAAGGAAGTCCCAGAAAATCTAGTGGGTAGTGTTGTGCTGCACTGAACCTGTAGTTCTTACCAAATTCCTAGAGAAAATGCTGCAGTTTTCAACTGGGTCGCAGACTACGCTTCAAGATGACTGCAGAACTGCTGAGAAGCATAATACTAAATTAGATTTGCTGAGATTATGTATTAACAGTACTGTTCCTGTGTCAATAAACACACACTGTTGAAAAGAAGCTTATACAACAAGATACCATCATTTATGTTGAACCTTGTCTTAGTGTTAATCGTGAAACAGCTAAGCTTCTTGTCTTACTTGCATAGGTGCAATGGATGGTCAGTACAAAAAAATAAGCATTTCCAGTATGTGATGCACCCTTTTTTGTTTAAGTTGCCTGAGGTGCTACCAGGAATCTTTTTCTAGACATGCCAATCTTTGTCCTTTTACTGCAGATGATGTTTAAACAGCTATACTTCATTTTTCAAACAGTTCAATTGGCTCTTACTCTATACTCAAGAGTATACTATTTGGAATGTAACAATACCTGAGGTCTATAAGGCAGGAAAAAAACTTGCATATGAAGGCTATAAAATATCAAAGTATCTTCAATGAGTGTAAAGGAAGAGAGCCATCACCAGGACTTTGTCCAGCAGTTTTACAGGGTGAAGACATGCTCCAGTGAAGTGCACTGTAAGAAGAAACAGTGGCCCATGTTTGGTCTTAATACTATAAAAACAGAAAGATTCTTTGGAGTGATGGGATGCTGGAGAAGGAGCTATCATTAGGTGGCTCCAAAAATCCTTGGACTTGCTTTTTACTTCTTTGGAAAACACCATTCTTCTGTTATACGTTAATACTCTTCTACCCTCTGCAAAAGTCTTTTCACAGTATACACTGATCCTGCCTCACTGGAAAGAATAATCTGAGCTGCAGATCCTGACAATTTGGGCTTTCAGTTGTGGAAATTATCTGTGTGGATGAAGGACTGCCATAAGATTTATTTATTTGTTTGTTTGTTTGTTTGTTCATCTCTTTATTTATTTATTTATAACAGGAGACAGATACTGAATTCAACACAGTAATACACATGCACAAATCAAATGAAAAATAAACCAATAAGGAAAATGCTTGCAATCACAGACAAACACTTCAGTTCTAGAAGAGATCCAGTTCACAGCTGTGGTGGGATGTGTACCATATGCTTATTTTTCTCTGAAGAAGGAGTCATTTTTCCATGAGACTTAATGGGTGAATGGTTGACTGGATAAATGCTTACAAAAACAGGTGTAAATCAGATAATTCTAGAGTTTTGATTGCCAGTATAAGAAGAATATGAAGTTCTAGCAAGCTAAAAATAATGATTTTAGATCAAGCCTACATGCAACTCTTTCTTGCAGGATCAGTGTTAAGGTATATATACATTTAAAATAAATATTCAATCAAAAAATGAATGAAAAACAGACCTGAAACAGAAGAATTTTAATTTATCTGTGTTTTATACTATTCATTCCTGGGTGAGCTTAAATGGCATCTTATCTTAATAATGATGTTATGCAACTGCATTTTTTTGATAGATTACTTCAAATGGTACCATAGCCTTCATGTAATTCAGGTATCTTCAGCTCACCTTGTGAAGTCTGAACTGACCATGGAGTTAGATATCTGTAATAATTAGTACCTATAAATTTGGTAATATGGAGAAAAGAAAACAGATATATTCTTGAGAGCAGCAGGGTTGTGATCAAAAGCAGGGAAGATGATAGTTGCAATATAATATATCGTGTTTTTCTCAGAGGGAGTTGTTCAAATACAGAACTAAATCTGCTTGTAAATTCAAGGAAATTATTTGGCTGTTTGTGTATCACTAGGGAAAATGCAAACTGCAGAAAAAGTATTAGAATCATATTGAGTTGGCTTTATTTCAATCTTTCATTAATTATATATCCATTTATAGGACAAATAACTGAATCTTCACTCATTTTTTTAGCATGGCATTTTAATTAGATGAAAATGAGAATAAGTGGGAATAACTAATTAGAAAAAATCAGCATAGTGGCAAAGATTCATTAAAAGAAAGTCACAAACATCCAAAGCACTGAATCTGTAGGTAGATGTTAGAGCCCAGATTATACGATGTGAAATATGCAAAATGACAGAATCAATTAGAAACTTGGGCCAAAGCCGTTTCTTAATTTTTTTTTTTTGCCAGTTGGAGAAGTAAACAATTTATTCATAAATTTTCATCTTTTGAAATTCAGAAACCTCAGAGAAAATATTCAGAGGATTGTGATCCATCTTCTTCCAGCTGCAGCCATTTTCCTTCGAGAAGAAATAAGGTGGAAGGGAGGGGGGGGGGGGGGGGGGGAAAGGGTGGAGAAGGTTTATAGAAAGATAAGAAGGTAGAGCTAGCAAAAATAATTTTTAAAGAGAGAAATTTTTTTACACCATAAGCAGAGATAATAAATTTTGATATAAATCAGCTTTAAATAAATGTAGCGAAATAGAACACAGGAGGTATAAATCATTCTTACATTTATTGCCTAATTCTAATTCTGTTATTGGAAAGAGTAATACTCTTGTTGTTTCTAATTGATATTCTGTGTTGGTACAGAACAACATAATTTGGCTCTGCTTTTTCATTTGCAATGACAGATGAAGTAAGGGCTATTTTCAAGAAAAATAGATTTCAGACTTTCCTAGAAGACTGCAAATAACCCACTAAAATATAAAACTATATCTATTTAGTTTAATTAATATGTATATTTAATAAATACTTCCTACAAATTATTAGTCATTTCTTAAATATTATCATTGGATTATATACCTAGGAAAGGCATATAAAGAACAGGCATATATTTGGACAGACATCTGGGGGGGAGGGGGGCGGAACAAATAGATGTTGAAAGACAACTGAAAAACAAGGCTAGCATTATCTTGAAATGAGAGCTGATAGTAGTATATGGAGGGATGTCACAAGTTGAAAGATGACAGAACACAATTTTAAAACAAATACTTCTTCTGAAAAACATTATAATTGAAATAATTATAATGTCTATTTTCTTCATGCTTTTGTTTCACTTATGTCACCTTCACTTCTTAAATCACTTCTAATACTCCAATAACTGGATGTTTCCAAGGACTCCATTTTTGAGATTTTCACGTCATGTTTTCCTCTATATCAGTACCAACTCCAAAATGCACATGTGCTGTGCATAAAGACTCTTGCGAAATACAGGTGTTACACTAATGTCTATATATTGTACCCAGTTATGGTCTGATTATGTACCTGATTATGATCCGATTTCTGCATGGTTCTGTGTGGAGCCAGAATCCGAGCTTGATGGTCTTTATTTGCTCCTTCCAACTCAGGAAACCCTATGATTTTATGATTCTATACTTCACCACAAATAACAGCATGTGAGAACTAGTGTCATGGTAATTCCTGTATCTGACAGCTGTCAGCTTATTTTACAAAGGCAACAGATCTGTAAGTGCTATAGAAGCCCTCAAGTTTGAATTGTAACAAAAATCCTTCTGAACAAAGAAGGGCTCTCTAATACACTGGCACATATCAACAAAAAATTATGTCCTGCACTTTCAGATAGGTGATAGAGACACAGATATTTTGTTTTAAATGGGTTTGAAGTTGTGTGGAAACTGTTGAGTCATGGCCTGAACCACTGATTAATCACCTGAGGAAAGGACTGAATCAGCCTTGGGAGCACAGGTGAAGACAATTCAGCTGTGTGACCAGAAGAACCCATTTAAGAGCTGACTGCCACTGGGGAAGGATCTCTTTCTGGAGATAATTCCTCTTTGGAGTTTTCTACCACGAGCCTATGTCCTTGGATACATGTAAGCTTTTCTTTCTTGATTGTTGCTTTTTCACCACGGTAATCTTTCCAACTACAACACCTGTTATGTATCATCCTAACTGCTATTCTTTCAACTGTACAGAAGTGAATTCATTTTATTCTCCAGGAATTCCTACTAAATTAGAACCTTTGAGGATTTACTAATTTCATGAGGGAAAAAATGCCAGGCTTCCTGGATATTCCTGGCCTAATGTTAGAGCCATCTCTTCTGGTGAATGTGACACACGAACTAGCTCAGCTTGAGTCATGTTTAACTATCACAGTCTGTATTACAAAAAAATAGAATAAATACAGAGGTCTCTCATTTTTCCATGCAGCTCTCTGTCATGTAGTTGCTATGTTTTCCAACACCAACTGAGTTTGCCCTCTCCCAGCCTGTACCATGGTGACAGTATTTTTGCCTGAAAATACAGACCTCGCTACAAGCTGATATGCACTCATTAATGTAGCACAGTTAATCACAATCTGGAAATCTTTTATCTTTGAAGGATGTGGAAGCCAGATCCAGAGCAGTAAACATAGCCAAGCTTTGGGCTGGTTTCTGAAGACTCTCCCCTGGATTTATGTGACATTTTCATCTAATCCAATTACAAAAGTTCAGTGATGGAGCCAGAAAACTTGGATTCCTATCTTCATACTGGGTCATTAAGTAAATCTTTCCAAAATCTTTTAGCTTATTTTGTCAAGCCAAGTAAGTATATCAGAATGAGAAACAAGCCCTGAACCTTGGCTTTTATCACCTTTACACTAGTACCCCAAACCAAAATGCTTTAGCTTAAGCTCATCTGCAAAATAACAAAACCAAAAAACACCTTAAGGTATTTGATACCTGTTCTACAATTGTAAATGTAACAGCGCAGACATAATACAACTTCTAACCTAATCCTCTTTTTTTTTTTTTTCTTACAGTCTACAGGCTGACAGCTGAAATTAATGAATTTAGCTCCCAGTTTCTTTTGGAATGAAGGTAGGTGTCATGTAATTTGAGTGAAAGGGAATGGTGGAATTGAAAGCTCCTGTAGATTTGTATGTGGCCGCTAGATGATGCTATATAGCTTTTCAATCTCTCCATTACTTTCACAAGTAACTGAAAAAAAAATAAAAATAAAAATGGGAAGACTAGATTAAAATTTATTTTTTATACACAGATAAATATGTACATAAGCTTTGCATTTAAGTTAAAAAAAAAAATAATCCAGTTAGCATTTGTAAACAGATGGGTGCAATAAAAGAGTGCACCTGATTTTAGATCTCCTTTGTGTTGGATCAGAACAATTTTAGCAACGTGATACTGAATAAGTCTGAACAAACCTTTGCCAGCAAAAGAACTTCCAAAGATGTTTTTTAAAGTAATTTATTCAGCAGTCTTTTATACTAGATTGGTTATCAAGTCTTTCTGCAGCTAGGATAAAACCTTAAGCTGGCTTAAACATCCATTACCATGCTTTTACTGAGTCAGCTTGCTTTTGATTTTATGAGACTGAATGCATACAAGTCTATGGGGCTGGATGGCATGCATCCCAGGGCTCTGAAGGAGCTGGCTGAGGTATTTGCTGAGCCAAGTCTCCATCATATTTGAAAAGTCATGGCTGTCAGGTGAGGTCCTGGATGACTGGAGGAAGGGTCACATCACTCCCTTTTACAAGAAAGGGAGCAAGGATGACGTGGGGAGCTACAGGCCAGTGAGTTTCACCTCTGTGCCTGGGAAGATCATGGAACAGATCATTCTGGATGACATGCTTTATTGCAGCGCCTGATGCACAGACTCAGATGTGAATGACCACAAATCGTTTATTGCAAGTTCTCACATCACTTTTTTTGAATTTTCTTTTTCTGGATTTCCCATCCACTCTACAACTTCCCCATCCACCTTTACGTGTCAACAGAGCATTTTACAAAGCACTCTTCAACCATTCATGCAGGCACTTATCCAATCAGAGCCATGAGACATTCTTTCTTCTTCTAGAGGTGTCCTTGGTTCTCATGCTGTTTATCTTGCTCTGCAGCTGCTGCTCTGAACTGTTTTTTTTGTATTCCCACACTTGATCACATGAGGAATGAGCGTATGTTCTGAGACAGCCAGCAAGGCTTCACCAGGGGAAGGTCATGCTTAACCAATCTTGTGGCCTTTTATGATGGAGTGATGGTGTTGGTAGACAAGGCAAAGGCGACCAGTGTCATTTACCTGGACATGAGGAAGGCATTTGACATGGTCCCCGACCACATCCTTATCTCCAAATTGGAGGGATGTAGATATGATGGGTGGACCACTCGACGCATAAGAAACTGGTTGAAAGGCAGCAGACAGAGTGTGGTAATTATTGGTTCTATGTCCAGGTGGAATGAGCCGGATATTAGGACCAGTGCTCTTTAACATCTTTATCAATGACATCCATGATGGAACCTAGTGCAACTTCAGCAAGTTTGCTGATGACACCAAGCTGAGTGGTGCGGTTGACATGGTGGAAGGAAGGGATGCCATTCAGTGGGACCTCAACAGGCTTGAAAGGTGGCCCAAGGTTAACGTAATGAGGTTCAATACAACAAAGTGCAGAATTCTGCACTTGGACCAGAGGAATCCCAAGCATTTATACAGACTGGAAGGAGTGGTCCTTGAGAGAAGCCCAATAGAGAAGGGCCTGGGAGTCCTGATAGATGAAAATCTTAACATGAGCCAGCAGTGTGCTCTTGCAGCACAGAAAACAAATGGTATCCTGGGCTCCATCAGAAGACGGGTGGCCAGCAAGTACAGGCAGGTGATTGTCCCTCTCTACTCCACCCTTGTGAGGCCCCATCTGGAGTACTGCGTCCAGGTCTTAAGTCCCCAGTACAAGAAGGACAGGGAGCTATTGGAGAGGGTCCAGAGGAGAGCCACAAAGATGATCAGGGGCTGGAGCAACTCCCCTACGAAGACAGGCTGAGGGAGCTGGGCTTGTTCAGCATTTTCACCATATATGGAGAAAAGAAGGCTGAGGGGTGACCTCATTGCAGCCTTTCAGTACCTAAAGGGAGCCTACAAACAGGAGGGCAATCAACTCTTTGAAAGGGTAGATAACAGCAGGACAATGGGGAAATGGTTTTAAGTTGAGGGAGGGAAAATTTAGTTTGGATGTCATGGGGAAGTTCTTTACAGAGAGAGTGGTGAGGTGCTGGAACAGGCTGCCCAGAGAGGTTGCGGATGCCCCATCCCTGGAGGTGTTCAAGGGCAGATTGGATGGGGCCCTGGGAGGCCTGGTGTAGTATTAAATATGGAGGTTGGTGGCCCTGTTTGTGGCAGGGGGGTTGGAGATTCATGATCCTTGAGGTCCCTTCCAACCCGTGCCATTCTGTGATTCTGTGATCCAGATGAAACTTGTACTACCAAGTAATGTGGTGGTGCACAGGATTGGAATTAATAAATACACAACCACAGACAGATAGGGACTAATGGCCAAATCCACGCAGGAACTTTGCAGTACTCTTGCCATAAAGTGAATCAAAAAGGCTGTAAGCAACAGCTGATCTACTGCATGATTTATACTTCAGAATGAACAGAGCAGTAAACATACGTAAATACATATTATGTTATGGATTAAGATAGGATTTTGGCCATCAAAGAGCAAGACAGATAAACTTGCAGGAGATAAGGTACGTGTGGTGTTTTTTATGCGTTCCACATTATTGTATCACTGTTCAAGCACTAATCAAGTAGTGAATCTGACGAATAGAGACAGAGACACAGACAAGACCTTGTACGCATATTCACAAACTTTTCAGAGTTTAAAGAAATATTGAGAGGACAGTCCCCAGTTTGACTGTCTGGAAAGCAGAGTAGCAGTTGTTTCTGTGTCTGGCAGGTATTGATCTTTGTGATATCCAGAACTCCCTGATCAGGGGACATAATTGTCCGCACACTATTACACTTATCAGACAGACACAGAAATCACTCTGCCTTCATAGATGTGGTCATTTCACATCACTGGTGAAGGTCTCTGTCATTTTAATGCTCAGAATTGGACTAATTGGAAGGATAATTGATGACAGCATATGGACTGAAGTTAGGATTTAGATTTGCCTGAGAAAATAATGTCATTATTTTCCAAAGCTTTGGTAGTGATTACAAAGCTTAGCTTTAAAAGGCTCTTCACTAAGATCTGCAAAACACTCCCAAACAGCTTGTTTTCAGGAATATGACTGAGACAGGATTTATAAAGCAGATTGAATATTAGAGGTCTTTGAGGGTAAAATTACCCTTATGCATAAATGTATTTAGGCAATCTGCAAATTTGCTTGAGGTTGTAAAGTACTAAGGCACTTGGATTGCAGTTGTTTTGTTTGGCATAATTCATCATTACATGCTCTCACATGGCACAAAAACGTGTGTAAGTTAGCAACATCCCTATTCCATGCTTGTCACATGCAATTTTCAGAATGACCTTCTCTGTCTCCCTTCTTGCTCCTTGCAGACCCTTCTTCAATAGAAAGATGAGGGAGTCTGCTCCTGCCCAGACTCCTTTACTTCAGTCCAGTGCTCTCAACCCTCTCAGTAATACCTCTTGTTTCCCTTGCTGTTTCTGCTCCAGTCAGGAGCAGGAGGTTGAGAAAGAATTCCAATTCTAGATCCCACCCAAAGAGTTGAAGAAAATACACCTGCAGCAGGAAAGAGCTGTACTGGCCTTTGCCCGCTCCCGCAAGTCCTGTGTTTCTTCTTCAGAGTTCTGGCAGACTTTGGTTCACCACCACTACAATAGAGTCATCCTTGTTGTGTAAAGTTTGTCCACATTTGGGAGCTGAGTGACCATCTTTATGTCTTGATTGGCAGAGCAAGGCTGTATGGTGCTAAACTACATTCAAGAGCCCTGCATTCCTAAAAAGCAATGTCATCTGGTAGATATCTTGAGTACTATGTTGCTATGAAAAGAAATAAAAACTACATCTAATTAAAATAATGTTAATAAAAGGCTTCATTAACAACATGATATTTTACAGGAATGACAAAGTGTTTCCACTGTCAAGTTATTAAGGCAGAAATATTTATGTGCATTCTTCTGTTTCTTTACATATGGGAAAATGGTTGTGCCTGTACAAGAAGTATTTTGCATATGATGAAAATCTTATGGCATTTCAGTGATTCAAAACTTAGTAATCACAGTGTTTTCAATCCCACTGTTTGTCAGATCTGCTGTGAGGAAATTCAAGTATTCAACATTTTCAACACTATTTTTTAAAAAGACTCTGGCACTCTGTTATGTCATGTAAACATCAGCCCACAGTGACCAGTTGCTGCTGTGCTTTCATTCGAAGAACCCTTTCATTAGAAGAACCCACAGCATCTCTTTTATTATCCTAGTACAAAGAGTGTGCTTGTTCTTTCAGAACACCCAGAGTGAAGGGAGCAATTGTATGAGCTGCTAACTTCTTTGGAAGTGGATTTAATATTGATTTCAGACAGCTTGATCGTATACCAGAAAGAACCTCATGTAGGCATTGCTGCTGTCAAGTTTTTCAATTGAGCCTGATCACAAGTCTGATGATAAGAGTGTAAATGGAGAACAGAATCTGCTACCTCTTTCATGAGCTGGAGTTCTGATTTATCATGCTCTCACTCTCAACAAGACATTTTTATCTGTGATGTATTAAACTCACAATCATATCACAAATATTTTAATATGCAAATGAAATTTTGCATTTAATCCTTGCACAAAACTTCTGATTCCCATGATAGGAAATAAAGTTTATCTGCACTTGAGGATACCATTTTCTCTTCCATGAGTATTACTGAAACAACAATACACATCAAACACCTACCTTAGAGTTTCCTCTCTATGTATTTAAATGCTTTATGGAGAGGTCAGTGTCCTCTTTTGTGCGTGTGGGAAAACTGTCAGATTTTTCTAGTATGCTAAGAACGATACTAGCAAGAACTTTCCTTACTCTGTGAAGTCATAAGATGAAACTGCTTCAGAGCTCCTCAATTTCACTTTGCAGAAACGTGACATTGTTTTGGTATAAGTCTGTTGCATTACACAAGCTGTACCCAATGTGCAAGCCAAAACAAATGTTTTATTGTAGTTTACTGTAGGCACCTAAAAAAAAATGAGCCTTCTAGGAATTGCTGTCAGCAAGTGGAAGATTTCTAAACATTTTAAACTGTCAGCTTTCAAAACTCAGGTTCCTTAAGATTCCAAAATTCCTCTTGAGAAGACTCAAAGGGTCTGGTGTTACAACACAGGAAAGGAACTTAGCAATTGTTTCGTGCTTCCCTCTCAGCAAAGCCCAAAGCCTAATCCCTCTTTGAATTTTGTACAAAGTGCAGCGGTATTCTGATTGATTAAAAATATGCCTGAAGGACGTGGCATTCCTCTTTTTCACTGACCAGTTAACCCACCAAATACGTAAGAAGTTTAGAATTAATCCTCTCTATTGAAAAGATTACATGCTAATCATTAATACTGAGAATTTAAATATAACCAGGAATACTCATTTTCAAAGCAATTTCTGCCAGACAAGCGTTCCTGACTTCACATGCCATGGGGAGCTTTGGTAGTGATGCCAGGTTGGGCTCTTTTCTGATATCAAAGCACAATGAAGCAAGGATATAGAATTGTGATCTACAGCCTACAAGTCTGGGAAAAGAAAACAAAAAGTGATTTTATGTCACATCCGTACATGCCAAAAGTCATCACAGTGTAAAAACCTGCTGGTGCTCTAAAACTGAGGTTGTAATGATTTTCCATTGTGATGCGACAATGACATTTTGTTTCTGATTTTAAAAAATAATTCTAATTGAAAAGGACACGCTGTTTGGTTTATAGGTGGCATGCTATAAGGTATGTCTCAGAAGTGTTTATCAAACAACCTGTTACAGAGAACTGAGCCAGTTCTTCACGTGTCTGAAAACCTCCCTCATTTATGGGATATATATTTCTCTTTGAAGGGAACCCTAAGGGAATAGCTGCAAACATATCCTAGTGCTGATTATTTTGTCACAGGAGCAAACAGTGCTTTATCACGAAGACAGCAATTAATGCCAAAACAAAAAGCTCTTTGCTTTTACATGTGATGCTGAAAGAAACTCGGTTACAAAATAATTAATGGGAAACATAAGCTTCTGTAACACACATTGAAAATGTGTGCTGATTTCCTGATGCTTTGTGAAGAAAAAAAGAGCTGGACTGATTTTACAAAGGAAATGTGTATGTTTTTCTGCAGCTAATTAATGTGAACCTACTATTATCCTTGCATGTGTCATACACAGCTCATCGCTTCATGGAACACAGAACCCAATAAGTAAATGACACTGGAAGTCGAGTCCTGCTGGCCTCATACAAGCAAATAGCTACTAAAGAGGAGATCTTAAAACTCCTATGGATCTGGTTAAAATTTTCCTATTTGATTTGTCTGTAACACTAAAATTTTATCAGCAAACAGGCAGAGTTCTCAAAAACAAACCAAATAAAAACCAGAGAAATATTCTCAAGTTTCTGGAAAACAACAACAAAAACCACTGTTGCTTGTACTTTATTTATCGCCATCCAGATTTTTTTAATAGCTGCTAAAATCACCGTTCTTTTTTTCTGGCCTGAGATCTGACCTCCTCAGAAGCAAACATCAGCCCAAGCACGTCAACTCTTGCAAACTGAAAATTAGATTCATATCACTGTGGCTCAGGTAAACCACACATTCATACGTTTGTCAGAGGAACGCTACGTCACGCTGCTCTTACACACACACACTTTGAGATGCTCATGGGTTTTTTCAAGAGGTAAAACTACCCCTACTCTTCTCGTACCAAACTCAATCAATAGATAGCTCTGATTTCCTCATCTTTCCATGTGCTTCTATTCCCGAAAGTACTGCACTCAGATCTATAAATATATAAGAGTAAAAGCAAGGATGCTGGACCACCACTTACACAGACCAGAGTGAGTTATACAGACATCAACTGATTTTCCTCTTTCCGGTGCCTGGAAAACCACCAGTTTCAGACCTCCTTCCCACCTAGTACAGACCAAAGTTAATTTATAGAAAGCAACCTTAGAAATAATCTGTGTCAGAATACTAATGTGTTCATACTCAAATTCAAGGAAGCCTGTTCTCTGAACCAACATCCCTTTTGCTGCCTTAAAAATATGTTTGCAAGGCTGGAAAAGTTAACAGAAAATTATTAAGTGGAAAGAAAAAACAGAGCAGTAAGAAAAACTAACTAAAAACTGATCATCATCTGAAAGCTGCAGAAGGATCAGCATTCTCACAAGGAATACAAATGACTATCGTCATTCATCTTCTTCCAGGCAGTACAGCAAAATAGACTCACCAGCTGCACCTATTTAATATCGTCAGACAAATGACTGGGCTTAACTATAAGTCATTTTTTTTCTTCAAAGTGGCTGGTGTGATGCTTTGTTTTGGGAAAGAACAACATTGATAACACAACGCTGTTTTCAGTTGTGATGAGTAGTTCTGAAGCTGAGTCAAGAAGTTTTAGCTTTCTCAGCTTATCCTACAGTCTAAGAAGAGGGCTACGAGCAACTCAAGGAAGGGGACAGAATCAGGACCTAAACCTGAACAAGGCAATATTCCATACTCAATGCCACAATGTGTAAGGAAAGCTTGCAAAGAAAACAGTGTTTATCAGGAGAGCAACTGATGCTTGGGGACTAACAGGGCATCACTGGGGGCTGAGCAATTGATTGGGCATCAGTTGTTACACGTGGATCTATGTTCAGAAGTGTGCATCATAGCTGTTGCCCTCTTTCCCCCTTTCTTTTCTCAACTTCAGTAAATTGTTTTTAACTCCAGTCCACTAGCTCTGCTTGATCCCTCCATCCTCCCCCTCCCGGTCTCTCTTCCTTACCTTTGAGAAGTGGGGGAGTGAGCCAACAACTGCACAGAGCTCAGCTACCTCCAAAACTAAACCACAACACAACAGAGAAACAAAGTGACCAACCCCATTGATTACAGCCACATCACTGCAGAATGTGCAATAGTTCAGGTCCTAAAGAACAGGAGGGATAAAGCACCAGCCGAGAGAACCACACTAAAAGTTAGTGGGGAACTAAGCACTCCTGAGCACACGCCATTCATCCCTTAAACCTCAAAAAAGATAGAGCAATTGGATGACACCTCTGAAAAAACAACTGGAGGCAAGTCCAGCACAAGTATTCTAGGAAATGAGCCAAACTTCTTTGGCTAAAAAACAGCCCTGAGCTGGCATGACACTGGACATAGGCAAGAATAAGGGAAGAGCTCTGCTACATCAGCTCTGCTACATCTGCTACACATCAAATAAAGTTTGAAGGATTTTCCATAGGGGTGGAGGAAAGAAACCAACAGTAACACAATTAAACCAGTAAGAAACTAAAGGCTTCATGCTACTTAACAGAACACTACAATTCAATTATAGGCCTGCAGGGGATTTGCCAGGTCAAAGCCTAAAAAATGAACGCGTGCATGTAAGTGCCTAGAAGAGGGGAGCAAAAGATCAACCCTACTACTGTCAAGAGCACAGCAGCGCTTACAGGATGGGGCAGAATCAGACAGCACCAAAAGAACCCCCCTACCCCAACATAATAACGAGGCAGAGATTGAACTGAAGAAGGCTACAAAACTCAGCTCACCCTTTAACCAAGGCTGGGAGAGGTGAGCTAAATCCGCCACTACAATATCTTGTTGGATAGAGTCCGTACCTCAAATAAAGAACCTGACAGCTCCAGTGAAAGCTTAAAAGATTCAAAGATGAGAACAAGAAACCACATGAACAAGCACAAAAATTTTATTCTTAGGACAAAATGCAAGCAATAAGAAGAAATCAAGTACCACATACAACTACATACAGCAGGTACAAAACACCAAAGAATCACATGAAATAAGACAGTAAAAAGCTTCCACTTCTTGCTCAATCCTGCCTCCCGGTTCTCCACACCGCTCCTTCCATCTTCGGCAGCAGATCCTGAAACACGAGGCACGACACCATTAGACCGCAGCAGCAGCAAAGCCTCCACCTGAAGGAAGCGGGAAGCCCAGCGCCCCAAAGGAACGCGGCACACAGCCACGCAGCCAACCAGGAAGATCCTGCATGCCCCCCCTCCTCCCCGGCCCGTTGCAGCAAAATCTACTCCGAGCAGCTTTTCTCACCTCAGGGGTGCACGGTGGAGGCTCCAGCCGGCGCTGCAGGGGATCGCAGAGGCGGGCAGACTGGGCAAATGCAGCTGGGCACACTAAAAGCAGCGGCAAAGGAGTCTGCTTCCCTGCTTACAGGGGACCCTCAGCCGCTGTCTCCATGGCAAAGGGCCTGGGACTGCGGGGCACAGCCGCTCCCTGAGTTACAGGGCAGCCCCATCCCTAAGGCCGCGGGAGGCTCCTTCTCTCCCAGTCGGGGGCGCTTTGACCCGCCGCCCGCTAACAGGGCGGTCACCCCACACGGGCTGCCAGCAGAGCATAGAGGCTCGCACGCCCAGACCCTGACTACAGGCGGGCAGACAACACCCCTGGAGCCACAGAGCTCGGTTTCCCCCCCAGCAGCAGGAGCAACTCTGAGCCGCCAGGCAGTGGGGCAACACGGCCAAAGGCCGCGGTCGGGATGCCAGCCCCAAGTCCAGGGAGGGCGCAAGCCCAGCCCCACATCTCGCGGCCCCGTGCCTCTGAAAGGCCGGGGCCACATTCCCGCCTGACTACAGGGGGTCTCTCTCTCTCAGAACACAGCTCACCAAGCACAGGGGGCACGCACGGCCCTGCCGACAGGACGGCGCCCCACGCCTCACCATCTATCTCCAAGAAGCCCCACGGAGCACGTGGCTCCCGCCAATGCCTGAGTTACAGGCTGGCCCGCCCGGCAGCACAACATCAGCACATCTTTGGGAGCCCAGAGAGCAACCTCAACCCACCGAGCGGGGAGGTCACCCCACACACAATCAGCACCTCAACCTGCACCCTCTGACGGGACAGGGAGGGGTCACTCCCACCAGCTGGATGGCTAAAGCAGCCGGCTGCAGCGCTGCAGCCTCCCCAGCCCTGATTACAGGGAGCATAGGGGTACAGGGGACGGGCTGCTCAGGGGAACAGAGGGCTTGTGACATGCACCCCGAGTACAGGGCTGTCACGCCGCCAGCAGAACAGGCGGCCATGCAAGGACAGGCCCAAGCCCTGGATACAGGGTGGCCTTGGCCACACAACTACCACGTGGCTCAGATCTCTACTAAGCATAAAGGAGACAGGACACACAGGACATCCGCTGCGCTCGCAGGACTAAGGTGAGAGGGAACACCCCTCATGCGGCATGCACCAAAGTCCTCCATTCCCCCCTGGGAAGTCACAGCTAAGCTGCAGCAATCTTTGAGGAGGCCTAAAGGGAAAGCACACGTGCTCAGTCACTCCACAAACACAAACAAGGAAAGGAAGGGGAACACACACACAGATGCAACTTTCCAGAAGGGAAGGACAACGCAGCGCAGCCAAGCCCTGGGAATAAACCCACACCTACGAGCAACAGGCAAGAGCCTGGGACCCATCCCCGGGCAGCACGGAGGCCACAGACCTCAACGTGACAAGGGGCTACTTGAGAAAGGACAAAGGCCAAACGCCACGACACGCACCCCGAGTACAGGGCTGGCGCATCAACAGGCCACCAGCAGGCAACAGCACTGATGGGCCGGAGGAGGAGGGGCAGGGAAAGGCACTACCCTGCTTACAGGGCGGCCCTGGGGTCCAGCGAGCTCCATTTCCCACTCGGGTGCGGAGAGGTGGCTCTCGCCCTCCGTACAGGGGGCCACGCTCCCCAGGCAGCCAAAGGAGCAAGAAGGCAAAAGGCCAACTACAACTACAGCAAAGACCGGAGCCCTGCTTACAGGGAGGTCGCCCAGCACAAAGCCGGCCTGGTCACCCAAGGTGCCGGCAACGCTCAACTCCAATTTGACTATGCCCCTGCTAGCAGGGAGATGCTTTGCCCAGGGTGCCTCTCTCCTTCCCCCCCGCATCTGCAGGCTTCTGCTTCCTCTTCATCTTCGCTCCTGCCTCCCGGTTCTCCACACCGCTCCTTCCATCTTCGGCAGCAGATCCTGAAACACGAGGCACGACACCATTAGACCGCAGCAGCAGCAAAGCCTCCACCTGAAGGAAGCGGGAAGCCCAGCGCCCCAAAGGAACGCGGCACACAGCCACGCAGCCAACCAGGAAGATCCTGCATGCCCCCCCTCCTCCCCGGCCCGTTGCAGCAAAATCTACTCCGAGCAGCTTTTCTCACCTCAGGGGTGCACGGTGGAGGCTCCAGCCGGCGCTGCAGGGGATCGCAGAGGCGGGCAGACTGGGCAAATGCAGCTGGGCACACTAAAAGCAGCGGCAAAGGAGTCTGCTTCCCTGCTTACAGGGGACCCTCAGCCGCTGTCTCCATGGCAAAGGGCCTGGGACTGCGGGGCACAGCCGCTCCCTGAGTTACAGGGCAGCCCCATCCCTAAGGCCGCGGGAGGCTCCTTCTCTCCCAGTCGGGGGCGCTTTGACCCGCCGCCCGCTAACAGGGCGGTCACCCCACACGGGCTGCCAGCAGAGCATAGAGGCTCGCACGCCCAGACCCTGACTACAGGCGGGCAGACAACACCCCTGGAGCCACAGAGCTCGGTTTCCCCCCCAGCAGCAGGAGCAACTCTGAGCCGCCAGGCAGTGGGGCAACACGGCCAAAGGCCGCGGTCGGGATGCCAGCCCCAAGTCCAGGGAGGGCGCAAGCCCAGCCCCACATCTCGCGGCCCCGTGCCTCTGAAAGGCCGGGGCCACATTCCCGCCTGACTACAGGGGGTCTCTCTCTCTCTCAGAACACAGCTCACCAAGCACAGGGGGCACGCACGGCCCTGCCGACAGGACGGCGCCCCACGCCTCACCATCTATCTCCAAGAAGCCCCACGGAGCACGTGGCTCCCGCCAATGCCTGAGTTACAGGCTGGCCCGCCCGGCAGCACAACATCAGCACATCTTTGGGAGCCCAGAGAGCAACCTCAACCCACCGAGCGGGGAGGTCACCCCACACACAATCAGCACCTCAACCTGCACCCTCTGACGGGACAGGGAGGGGTCACTCCCACCAGCTGGATGGCTAAAGCAGCCGGCTGCAGCGCTGCAGCCTCCCCAGCCCTGATTACAGGGAGCATAGGGGTACAGGGGACGGGCTGCTCAGGGGAACAGAGGGCTTGTGACATGCACCCCGAGTACAGGGCTGTCACGCCGCCAGCAGAACAGGCGGCCATGCAAGGACAGGCCCAAGCCCTGGATACAGGGTGGCCTTGGCCACACAACTACCACGTGGCTCAGATCTCTACTAAGCATAAAGGAGACAGGACACACAGGACATCCGCTGCGCTCGCAGGACTAAGGTGAGAGGGAACACCCCTCATGCGGCATGCACCAAAGTCCTCCATTCCCCCCTGGGAAGTCACAGCTAAGCTGCAGCAATCTTTGAGGAGGCCTAAAGGGAAAGCACACGTGCTCAGTCACTCCACAAACACAAACAAGGAAAGGAAGGGGAACACACACACAGATGCAACTTTCCAGAAGGGAAGGACAACGCAGCGCAGCCAAGCCCTGGGAATAAACCCACACCTATGAGCAACAGGCAAGAGCCTGGGACCCATCCCCGGGCAGCACGGAGGCCACAGACCTCAACGTGACAAGGGGCTACTTGAGAAAGGACAAAGGCCAAACGCCACGACACGCACCCCGAGTACAGGGCTGGCGCATCAACAGGCCACCAGCAGGCAACAGCACTGATGGGCCGGAGGAGGAGGGGCAGGGAAAGGCACTACCCTGCTTACAGGGCGGCCCTGGGGTCCAGCGAGCTCCATTTCCCACTCGGGTGCGGAGAGGTGGCTCTCGCCCTCCGTACAGGGGGCCACGCTCCCCAGGCAGCCAAAGGAGCAAGAAGGCAAAAGGCCAACTACAACTACAGCAAAGACCGGAGCCCTGCTTACAGGGAGGTCGCCCAGCACAAAGCCGGCCTGGTCACCCAAGGTGCCGGCAACGCTCAACTCCAATTTGACTATGCCCCTGCTAGCAGGGAGATGCTTTGCCCAGGGTGCCTCTCTCCTTCCCCCCCGCATCTGCAGGCTTCTGCTTCCTCTTCATCTTCGCTCCTGCCTCCCGGTTCTCCACACCGCTCCTTCCATCTTCGGCAGCAGATCCTGAAACACGAGGCACGACACCATTAGACCGCAGCAGCAGCAAAGCCTCCACCTGAAGGAAGCGGGAAGCCCAGCGCCCCAAAGGAACGCGGCACACAGCCACGCAGCCAACCAGGAAGATCCTGCATGCCCCCCCTCCTCCCCGGCCCGTTGCAGCAAAATCTACTCCGAGCAGCTTTTCTCACCTCAGGGGTGCACGGTGGAGGCTCCAGCCGGCGCTGCAGGGGATCGCAGAGGCGGGCAGACTGGGCAAATGCAGCTGGGCACACTAAAAGCAGCGGCAAAGGAGTCTGCTTCCCTGCTTACAGGGGACCCTCAGCCGCTGTCTCCATGGCAAAGGGCCTGGGACTGCGGGGCACAGCCGCTCCCTGAGTTACAGGGCAGCCCCATCCCTAAGGCCGCGGGAGGCTCCTTCTCTCCCAGTCGGGGGCGCTTTGACCCGCCGCCCGCTAACAGGGCGGTCACCCCACACGGGCTGCCAGCAGAGCATAGAGGCTCGCACGCCCAGACCCTGACTACAGGCGGGCAGACAACACCCCTGGAGCCACAGAGCTCGGTTTCCCCCCCAGCAGCAGGAGCAACTCTGAGCCGCCAGGCAGCGGGGCAACACGGCCAAAGGCCGCGGTCGGGATGCCAGCCCCAAGTCCAGGGAGGGCGCAAGCCCAGCCCCACATCTCGCGGCCCCGTGCCTCTGAAAGGCCGGGGCCACATTCCCGCCTGACTACAGGGGGTCTCTCTCTCTCAGAACACAGCTCACCAAGCACAGGGGGCACGCACGGCCCTGCCGACAGGACGGCGCCCCACGCCTCACCATCTATCTCCAAGAAGCCCCACGGAGCACGTGGCTCCCGCCAATGCCTGAGTTACAGGCTGGCCCGCCCGGCAGCACAACATCAGCACATCTTTGGGAGCCCAGAGAGCAACCTCAACCCACCGAGCGGGGAGGTCACCCCACACACAATCAGCACCTCAACCTGCACCCTCTGACGGGACAGGGAGGGGTCACTCCCACCAGCTGGATGGCTAAAGCAGCCGGCTGCAGCGCAGCAGCCTCCCCAGCCCTGATTACAGGGAGCATAGGGGCAGTAGGCCGCTTGGGGGACAGAGGGCTCCATGCCAATTGACAGACATACAAGTACAGGGCTGGCACATCAACAGGCCACCAGCAGGCAACAGCACTGAGGGGCCGGAGGAGGAGGGGCAGGGAAAGGCACTACCCTGCTTACAGGGCGGCCCTGGGGTCCAGCGAGCTCCATTTCCCACTCGGGTGCGGAGAGGTGGCTCTCGCCCTCCGTACAGGGGGCCACGCTCCCCAGGCAGCCAAAGGAGCAAGAAGGCAAAAGGCCAACTACAACTACAGCAAAGACCGGAGCCCTGCTTACAGGGAGGTCGCCCAGCACAAAGCCGGCCTGGTCACCCAAGGTGCCGGCAACGCTCAACTCCAATTTGACTATGCCCCTGCTAGCAGGGAGATGCTTTGCCCAGGGTGCCTCTCTCCTTCCCCCCCGCATCTGCAGGCTTCTGCTTCCTCTTCATCTTCGCTCCTGCCTCCCGGTTCTCCACACCGCTTCTTCCATCTTCGGCAGCAGATCCTGAAACACGAGGCACGACACCATTAGACCGCAGCAGCAGCAAAGCCTCCACCTGAAGGAAGCGGGAAGCCCAGCGCCCCAAAGGAACGCGGCACACAGCCACGCAGCCAACCAGGAAGATCCTGCATGCCCCCCCTCCTCCCCGGCCCGTTGCAGCAAAATCTACTCCGAGCAGCTTTTCTCACCTCAAGGGCGCACGGTAGAGGCTCCAGCCGGCGCTGCAGGGGATCGCAGAGGCGGGCAGACTGGGCAAATGCAGCTGGGCACACTAAAAGCAGCGGCAAAGGAGTCTGCTTCCCTGCTTACAGGGGACCCTCAGCCGCTGTCTCCATGGCAAAGGGCCTGGGACTGCGGGGCACAGCCGCTCCCTGAGTTACAGGGCAGCCCCATCCCTAAGGCCGCGGGAGGCTCCTTCTCTCCCAGTCGGGGGCGCTTTGACCCGCCGCCCGCTAACAGGGCGGTCACCCCACACGGGCTGCCAGCAGAGCATAGAGGCTCGCACGCCCAGACCCTGACTACAGGCGGGCAGACAACACCCCTGGAGCCACAGAGCTCGGTTTCCCCCCCAGCAGCAGGAGCAACTCTGAGCCGCCAGGCAGCGGGGCAACACGGCCAAAGGCCGCGGTCGGGATGCCAGCCCCAAGTCCAGGGAGGGCGCAAGCCCAGCCCCACATCTCGCGGCCCCGTGCCTCTGAAAGGCCGGGGCCACATTCCCGCCTGACTACAGGGGGTCTCTCTCTCTCAGAACACAGCTCACCAAGCACAGGGGGCACGCACGGCCCTGCCGACAGGACGGCGCCCCACGCCTCACCATCTATCTCCAAGAAGCCCCACGGAGCACGTGGCTCCCGCCAATGCCTGAGTTACAGGCTGGCCCGCCCGGCAGCACAACATCAGCACATCTTTGGGAGCCCAGAGAGCAACCTCAACCCACCGAGCGGGGAGGTCACCCCACACACAATCAGCACCTCAACCTGCACCCTCTGACGGGACAGGGAGGGGTCACCCCCACCAGCTGGATGGCTAAAGCAGCCGGCTGCAGCGCTGCAGCCTCCCCAGCCCTGATTACAGGGAGCATAGGGGCAGTAGGCCGCTTGGGGGACAGAGGGCTCCATGCCAATTGACAGACATACAAGTACAGGGCTGGCACATCAACAGGCCACCAGCAGGCAACAGCACTGAGGGGCCGGAGGAGGAGGGGCAGGGAAAGGCACTACCCTGCTTACAGGGCGGCCCTGGGGTCCAGCGAGCTCCATTTCCCACTCGGGTGCGGAGAGGTGGCTCTCGCCCTCCGTACAGGGGGCCACGCTCCCCAGGCAGCCAAAGGAGCAAGAAGGCAAAAGGCCAACTACAACTACAGCAAAGACTGGAGCCCTGCTTACAGGGAGGTCGCCCAGCACAAAGCCGGCCTGGTCACCCAAGGTGCCGGCAACGCTCAACTCCAATTTGACTATGCCCCTGCTAGCAGGGAGATGCTTTGCCCAGGGTGCCTCTCTCCTTCCCCCCCGCATCTGCAGGCTTCTGCTTCCTCTTCATCTTCGCTCCTGCCTCCCGGTTCTCCACACCGCTTCTTCCATCTTCGGCAGCAGATCCTGAAACACGAGGCACGACACCATTAGACCGCAGCAGCAGCAAAGCCTCCACCTGAAGGAAGCGGGAAGCCCAGCGCCCCAAAGGAACGCGGCACACAGCCACGCAGCCAACCAGGAAGATCCTGCATGCCCCCCCTCCTCCCCGGCCCGTTGCAGCAAAATCTACTCCGAGCAGCTTTTCTCACCTCAGGGGTGCACGGTGGAGGCTCCAGCCGGCGCTGCAGGGGATCGCAGAGGCGGGCAGACTGGGCAAATGCAGCTGGGCACACTAAAAGCAGCGGCAAAGGAGTCTGCTTCCCTGCTTACAGGGGACCCTCAGCCGCTGTCTCCATGGCAAAGGGCCTGGGACTGCGGGGCACAGCCGCTCCCTGAGTTACAGGGCAGCCCCATCCCTAAGGCCGCGGGAGGCTCCTCTCCCAGTCGGGGGCGCTTTGACCCGCCGCCCGCTAACAGGGCGGTCACCCCACACGGGCTGCCAGCAGAGCATAGAGGCTCGCACGCCCAGACCCTGACTACAGGCGGGCAGACAACACCCCTGGAGCCACAGAGCTCGGTTTCCCCCCCAGCAGCAGGAGCAACTCTGAGCCGCCAGGCAGCGGGGCAACACGGCCAAAGGCCGCGGTCGGGATGCCAGCCCCAAGTCCAGGGAGGGCGCAAGCCCAGCCCCACATCTCGCGGCCCCGTGCCTCTGAAAGGCCGGGGCCACATTCCCGCCTGACTACAGGGGGTCTCTCTCTCTCAGAACACAGCTCACCAAGCACAGGGGGCACGCACGGCCCTGCCGACAGGACGGCGCCCCACGCCTCACCATCTATCTCCAAGAAGCCCCACGGAGCACGTGGCTCCCGCCAATGCCTGAGTTACAGGCTGGCCCGCCCGGCAGCACAACATCAGCACATCTTTGGGAGCCCAGAGAGCAACCTCAACCCACCGAGCGGGGAGGTCACCCCACACACAATCAGCACCTCAACCTGCACCCTCTGACGGGACAGGGAGGGGTCACTCCCACCAGCTGGATGGCTAAAGCAGCCGGCTGCAGCGCAGCAGCCTCCCCAGCCCTGATTACAGGGAGCATAGGGGCAGTAGGCCGCTTGGGGGACAGAGGGCTCCATGCCAATTGACAGACATACAAGTACAGGGCTGGCACATCAACAGGCCACCAGCAGGCAACAGCACTGAGGGGCCGGAGGAGGAGGGGCAGGGAAAGGCACTACCCTGCTTACAGGGCGGCCCTGGGGTCCAGCGAGCTCCATTTCCCACTCGGGTGCGGAGAGGTGGCTCTCGCCCTCCGTACAGGGGGCCACGCTCCCCAGGCAGCCAAAGGAGCAAGAAGGCAAAAGGCCAACTACAACTACAGCAAAGACCGGAGCCCTGCTTACAGGGAGGTCGCCCAGCACAAAGCCGGCCTGGTCACCCAAGGTGCCGGCAACGCTCAACTCCAATTTGACTATGCCCCTGCTAGCAGGGAGATGCTTTGCCCAGGGTGCCTCTCTCCTTCCCCCCCGCATCTGCAGGCTTCTGCTTCCTCTTCATCTTCGCTCCTGCCTCCCGGTTCTCCACACCGCTTCTTCCATCTTCGGCAGCAGATCCTGAAACAAGAGGCACGACACCATTAGACCGCAGCAGCAGCAAAGCCTCCACCTGAAGGAAGCGGGAAGCCCAGCGCCCCAAAGGAACGCGGCACACAGCCACGCAGCCAACCAGGAAGATCCTGCATGCCCCCCCTCCTCCCCGGCCCGTTGCAGCAAAATCTACTCCGAGCAGCTTTTCTCACCTCAAGGGCGCACGGTAGAGGCTCCAGCCGGCGCTGCAGGGGATCGCAGAGGCGGGCAGACTGGGCAAATGCAGCTGGGCACACTAAAAGCAGCGGCAAAGGAGTCTGCTTCCCTGCTTACAGGGGACCCTCAGCCGCTGTCTCCATGGCAAAGGGCCTGGGACTGCGGGGCACAGCCGCTCCCTGAGTTACAGGGCAGCCCCATCCCTAAGGCCGCGGGAGGCTCCTTCTCTCCCAGTCGGGGGCGCTTTGACCCGCCGCCCGCTAACAGGGCGGTCACCCCACACGGGCTGCCAGCAGAGCATAGAGGCTCGCACGCCCAGACCCTGACTACAGGCGGGCAGACAACACCCCTGGAGCCACAGAGCTCGGTTTCCCCCCCAGCAGCAGGAGCAACTCTGAGCCGCCAGGCAGCGGGGCAACACGGCCAAAGGCCGCGGTCGGGATGCCAGCCCCAAGTCCAGGGAGGGCGCAAGCCCAGCCCCACATCTCGCGGCCCCGTGCCTCTGAAAGGCCGGGGCCACATTCCCGCCTGACTACAGGGGGTCTCTCTCTCTCAGAACACAGCTCACCAAGCACAGGGGGCACGCACGGCCCTGCCGACAGGACGGCGCCCCACGCCTCACCATCTATCTCCAAGAAGCCCCACGGAGCACGTGGCTCCCGCCAATGCCTGAGTTACAGGCTGGCCCGCCCGGCAGCACAACATCAGCACATCTTTGGGAGCCCAGAGAGCAACCTCAACCCACCGAGCGGGGAGGTCACCCCACACACAATCAGCACCTCAACCTGCACCCTCTGACGGGACAGGGAGGGGTCACTCCCACCAGCTGGATGGCTAAAGCAGCCGGCTGCAGCGCTGCAGCCTCCCCAGCCCTGATTACAGGGAGCATAGGGGTACAGGGGACGGGCTGCTCAGGGGAACAGAGGGCTTGTGACATGCACCCCGAGTACAGGGCTGTCACGCCGCCAGCAGAACAGGCGGCCATGCAAGGACAGGCCCAAGCCCTGGATACAGGGTGGCCTTGGCCACACAACTACCACGTGGCTCAGATCTCTACTAAGCATAAAGGAGACAGGACACACAGGACATCCGCTGCGCTCGCAGGACTAAGGTGAGAGGGAACACCCCTCATGCGGCATGCACCAAAGTCCTCCATTCCCCCCTGGGAAGTCACAGCTAAGCTGCAGCAATCTTTGAGGAGGCCTAAAGGGAAAGCACACGTGCTCAGTCACTCCACAAACACAAACAAGGAAAGGAAGGGGAACACACACACAGATGCAACTTTCCAGAAGGGAAGGACAACGCAGCGCAGCCAAGCCCTGGGAATAAACCCACACCTACGAGCAACAGGCAAGAGCCTGGGACCCATCCCCGGGCAGCACGGAGGCCACAGACCTCAACGTGACAAGGGGCTACTTGAGAAAGGACAAAGGCCAAACGCCACGACACGCACCCCGAGTACAGGGCTGGCGCATCAACAGGCCACCAGCAGGCAACAGCACTGAGGGGCCGGAGGAGGAGGGGCAGGGAAAGGCACTACCCTGCTTACAGGGCGGCCCTGGGGTCCAGCGAGCTCCATTTCCCACTCGGGTGCGGAGAGGTGGCTCTCGCCCTCCGTACAGGGGGCCACGCTCCCCAGGCAGCCAAAGGAGCAAGAAGGCAAAAGGCCAACTACAACTACAGCAAAGACCGGAGCCCTGCTTACAGGGAGGTCGCCCAGCACAAAGCCGGCCTGGTCACCCAAGGTGCCGGCAACGCTCAACTCCAATTTGACTATGCCCCTGCTAGCAGGGAGATGCTTTGCCCAGGGTGCCTCTCTCCTTCCCCCCCGCATCTGCAGGCTTCTGCTTCCTCTTCATCTTCGCTCCTGCCTCCCGGTTCTCCACACCGCTTCTTCCATCTTCGGCAGCAGATCCTGAAACCTGAGGCAGGGCTCCATTTGACTTGTATTCCCTCCTCCCCAGCCCAATCCAGCCAAAATTACTTTGAGCAGAAGGTATCACTGCTGGCTAAATTAAAGGTATGGAGCAATCGTGAGGTCAATTGTAGGCAAATGGGGAAATGGGCCCTCATTGTGCAGAGGCATGGCTTCTCAAGTTGGTGATTGACAGAGACTAGCACTTCAGGCCATGAACATTGTCAAGGTAGGATACAGAATCACTCGGTAGCCTAGGTTCTCAGAGCAACCTACCTTTCCTTCCTATCATAGGTTTCACATCACATTCACTTACGTGAACAGTGCAACAGTACTCTAGGGCTTCCTCCTTTTTATCCTTAGTGTCTCACTCACGTTACCCCCCCCAGTTCCAACCAATGCAACGTGATAAAAAGATACAAACTTCCTGAAGGACAACGACCCATTTGAGAAAAAATTCTTTATTCAGGCTGATTACTGCCGTCTCTCAGCATCTACCACCAAGGCAGTGCTCCGGCCAGACCCCGCCCCCCCCCCCCGCCGTCGGATCCTCGCTCCGGCCGAACCCCTCCCACCCTCAGCGCCGTCGGAGCCGCACTCCGGCCGGACCCCTCCCACCCCACACAACCCCAGCGCCGTCGGAGCCGCGCTCCGGCCGGACCCCTCCCACCCGACACAACCCTCCGCGCCGTCGGAGCTACGCTCCTGCCGGATTCCCCCTCCCCAACTCCCGCGCCGTCGGAGCCGCGCTCCGGCCGGACCACCACAATCCCCGCAACCCCTGGCCCTGCTCTTCCCCCTCGTTGCCCCGCTTCGACTCTTTAGTCATCCGTCGTTCCCAGCACATCCTGCCCGACGCCCGCCTCAATCTCTCCCGGCCGCCCCTCTGCTCGACCCCGCCGCTCCGCACCTCGGTCCCGATGCTGCTTGGATTCCGCCTTCTGTCCTTCCCTCGCAGCGCTCCGCTTCTTCTCGTGCTCTGAGGTAAACACCTGTTGCTCACCTTCCCGCCCGTCCGCCTTATATAGGTTTCCCTGCCGCCCGGCAGCCAATAGGAGCTCAGAACGCCGCTCTCTCTTCCCGCCGTTTTCCCTTCCCGCCGCTTTTTTTCCTCACCTCATCCTTCCCGCCCTTTCCAGCTGAAGGTGACTGGGCGGGGTCACCTGAAGGCCACGGCCGGGGTCACCTGAAGGTCACAGGCAGCTCGCAGGCGTTGCTGTCCGTTCTCTCAGGACAGAACCACCTCAGCTGTGTTCTCACCTCACCTGGCAGCCTGGCAGAGCTGGGAGTGGGGAATTCATTTCTTCAGTTTCAGTGTTTCTTTTAACAGTCACATAAACATTAGGTGTTCCTTCCAGAGTATTAGATGTCCACAAACACAATTTTAAAAAGTGTATATTTTTAATGAGTTCTCACATTGATACCTCACATATCTGCCCCTACAGGGAAAATCCCTTCTGAGCTCAGAAACCTCGTTACAGAGAGATAAGGGTGAAAAAGCTGATGCCTGATGTGTGAAGGATACCGTTTATTTGTAAACTCAAGTCGTCCTCGTGTTATAGATTTGCTTGTATTTTGTCCTTTATTTACACACCATGGTTGGAAATGCTCACCTCAGTGCTATGCACTGCACTGAACGTTCGCTGAACTCATTTCCTTCTGTCCTTGGCTACATTTTTTCTCATTGTAACAGTGGTGTAAAACAGGGCTAAAGAAGGATACCAAATGGCGATTCCAAAATAAGATGTATCAGTAGCAGAAACAACTCTTGGCAGCTGGGATGAAAAGTTTCCCCTTCAGGGAATCTCTTGCTTGGCATGCAAGCCAGGCAAATGGGCCACTGCAGAGAAAGGCAGCCTGGACCTGAGGGTACCAGCTGCATTGCAACACGTGGTGTACAGTGCGAGTGTCCCACCTTCTGGTTTGCCTGCCTGGGCTGCACTGAGTTAAGAGGAATTATCATGGTCCATGTATATGAGTTCCTCTGAAAGTAATGCCTCCTATTTATTCTCATGGAAATGACAACAGATAAAATGAGTGAGTCTGTTTGATAGAGCAAATTCTCAGCTACAGAATGCTGTTTTTCAACATAGTAAGCACCATTAGTAAGCATTTTTGCCAGCAATGAAGGTGAGGCTGAATGCTGTGGCTTGTCAAAATGTGCACCTGCACACATGAGCAGTGGGCACTGTCACCACTGCTGAAATGCACTGTGCATTGCCCCTCTGTGCTCACATCCATAAATCTTCAGCAAGCATTGAAGAAGGCCAGTGGGTGTTAGATATTTGGAACCTCACAGCTATCTTCACACTGAGCTGTGGGTTCATGCTTCTGCGCTTCTCAGTCATGAGTCCATTATTTGTCCAGATTGTCCAGATTCCTGTGGAGCACTTGAACTCCCTTCTGCCCTGTATGCCTAAGTATCTTCTTTTTTCTTCATGAAGGGCTAAGCATACAGGTATTGTCCTAGTACTGCAATCAGGCAGCAGCTGGAGCCTGACTCAGTTGCTCAAAATATTTCTGAGACTAGCTTTCCAGTTTCAGCTTTATAAAATAATCATGTTGTTATAGGTTTACTGCAGGCAACAGCTGAGCATCACACATATGTTTGCTCACTCACTCCCCTGCACCCCCCAGTAAAACAGAGGAAAAAATGAATAGGACAAGCAAAACTAAGAAAACTCATGGGTTGAGATAAATATAGCTTAAGAAGCGGAGAAGAAGAAGAAGAAGAAGAAAAGTGATGCAAAGGCAATCATTCATAGCCTTCCACTATATGCCAAAGGCCTATGGCACTTTCTGAGCAGTGGTTGGCTTCCTAAAAGCCCACCCTCTGTTTTTATTGTTGAGTGTGATGTTATGTGGCATAGAACATCCTTTAGGTCAAACTGGGTCAACTGCCCAGGTTATGGTCCCCCTTAGCTTCTTGCCCATCCCCAGGTTACGTGTTGAAGAGGTGGGCAAAGCAAAAATAAATAAATAAATAGGAAGCCTTGATTCTGAGGAATATTTCTCAGCAACAGCCAGAACACTGGTGTGTTATCAATGCATGTTTGGTCAAAAAGGTGAAATTTAGCACCATATGGGCTGCTATGAAGTAAATGAACTCCAGCTCAGCTGGAGTATACAGGTGTGTTTAGAATTCAGCAGTTAGGATCTGGAATCTCGGCTCTAAAGGTCTCATCAAGAGACTCAGTTGAACTTAAGTAAAAACCAGAAACAGGCTGGAATAATAGCAACACCTAAGAAATAAAGAGACAATAGTAATTATTCATATATCCAAGAGACAGTATTTTTCTTGACCTTCCCAATAGTGAATTATTCACTACTCTTGTTCTACAGTGGCTTTGAAATGAAAGAAGGTACAGAAGGGAAAATGAAAGTAACTGAAATTCCACACATTTTTCATCTCTGTCATCTCTACACACAGCCACTCTATCGACAGCTGCTTGTTTTTGCCCATGCAAAACAGACTGCACAATTGTACTTTACTTCAAAGTCCTGCATGACTTCACATGGCAGGTTATGACATAAAGCCACATGGTCAAGATAAAGTCTTCATCAGATCTGAGACCATTAACATTGTTCTGTTGTGAGTAAGAGTAAAGAGAATCCAGAGAGGCCAGGATCATCCTTCTTGCCTTGTTTCACAGATGAAGGAAGGACTTTGCTTCCTTGGCTATCAATCTAGCTCCTTTCACAAACATCAAAATTCACTTTCTTGCCTGAATAAAAAGAATTGCTGACCCTTCTGCACTGATAAGAAAGAAATAAATGCCAGTCAGACACTGGTTTATTCACAAAGGTACTAAGTAAACTCTTTTTCTAAACACGCTGCACAGATTTATTCTTTAAGCTAATCAGAACACAAATCAAATGTCACCCTGCTACACTAACTACAATGTCAACCACAATGATTACATCTACGTCAATCATTTCACATGATAGGCATGAATTCATTAGAATAGGATGTTGTCACTTTGTCAAAAGATCCAAAATGATCTTCTATTTGGTACTCCATCGTACCTACAGGATAATTTCAAAGGCAGCAGAGCCTCCTTTGAAACTAAAAGAGCTTGCTTCAGCATTTTCCTGGCAGCAGACTCAATGACAGCATTCTCTGTGAAGAAGCCACATTACCAATTTGAGTTTTATAAAGGAGGTGTTACTTTCTTTGTTCTAGCACTTACAAAAGTAGAACTGAAAAATTGATCTATGACATCACTTTTGGATATACAATCTGCAAGTTACCTGAAAAGAATCTTCCCTTTCAGCATTGGTTATACCATACATGTGGAAAGAATTCAGTAAACTCATTCCAGCTTCCCCTTTACTTTGGAAGTCCCACTGAGTTTGTCTCCTCCTGCATCAAATTCTGTTGAAACATCTCGGTACTTCAATTTCAAGTACCAATTTTCTGAAAAGTGTAGTACCAGAGGGCTAAGCACATGAAAAAAGCGTGTATGTGTCAAAATGTAAAGTTCACCATGTTCATCAGAACATGACTTCTCAGCTTACAAGTCAGGCCTCAAGTCATCTATTACACTGAAAGGTGAGTGCAAACTCTCCATAAAGGCTGAGCATGTTACACTCAGTGCTGTGGATTACCAGCCTGAGGTAAAGAGAAGAGAGAGCAGAGGCAGTGCAGAAAACGTTCTCTTTCTGGACAAAACGGTGATGTCAAAAATGTTGCTGTCACTTCAAAGTCAGGACTTGAAGATCTGCATCTTAGAACTGCATGTGAACTCTGGATAAAAATAGGTGCATAGTGGACAAGGTTTGGAATTAGTTCTTTGTCTACCTACGGTCAAATTCCACCATGTGCTTCTCCACCGTGAAACCAAGAGAATCCGTGGGAGGGAGCAAGGCTGATGTGCTCCTCCTTTCTTCCTCTGGGCTCGGGGGAATGCCACTCCTCCTCTCCCCTCCATAAACCAAAAATGCTGAAAAAAGGCAGTCCACAGAACCAGAACATTAACTCTTTAACTCCCACTGCTTTACATGATGTTATGATGTGGAATAGCGACAACAAAAAATCACAAAACCACAATAATTACATAAAGCAGATATTTTGAAATGCAGTGTACACTGGGTTACCACTATGCTTTTAATTAGAACATCAGTCTAACAGTTAAGTGCCATGTAAAGCATTTGGAGAGACAGGCAAGGGACATACGTGTCTTAAAAGTAATCTGTTTGTTAAAATGTCGCTGAACATCTCCCCATACTTCCCAAGTGAGGGAGTTGCTAGGAACGGGGCACTCCATGACTAAGTGCAAGCAAGGTTCTAAACGGCCTCGGCCTCGGTTAATGTGACACAAAGCACAAACATCTGTCCTCTGACACTGTCTGAATGCGACACACATTTTAAAAAGTGACAATAATTATCAAAAAGCTTTCAATACAAAGTTTAAACACATTTAAGTTTCAAAAGGATACTTTGTACATTTTGGAAAAATATAACATTTACTTTACATTGTTACATTAGTTACATAAGTTACATTCTTCATAGTTTGTAAGCTTCCATCGTTCGTACATTCCCTCATAAGTTTTCTTTTAATAGATTATTTTCTCTGGATTGTATGTCTAGTGCAGAAGTATCGCTGTTCTGGAGAAAAGCTTGTTTCTGCATTAGTTTCCTGAAAAGTCCATTTGGATTTGCAAGGAGTTCCTCATGTTTTCCACATTCGAGAATTTTGCCCTGACCGAGGGCGGCCACAAAATCAGCATTCTGAATAGTAGACAGAAGATGGGCAATGATTAAAACTGTCCTCCCTTCCATCAGCCGGTCCAGGGCTTCCTGCACTATGTACTCATTTTCAGCATCCAAAGCACTACAAAGAAATGAGGAGCAGAAGGGGCGGAGGGAGAGGGGGTAGAGAGAAAGGGGAATATGTATTTTAACAGCCGGTTAGCTTTTGAAACACCTGCTTCAAAGCTACGCTGCACATTACAGAGCTAGTTTGGGGAAAAATTAATACAGTGTTCCAGCTATCCTTCCACTTTGCATAAACAAAGCTT